AAAAAAAAAAAAAAAGGAAATAGTGTTCTCAGTTTTCCAAATGAATCCATGGAGCCTCAGAGGCATGAGGAACGTCTCTAGCGTGGAGAAGCTGGGATTTAAACTTGGTTGGAGCCTGGAGTGTGAGTTCCTGTTGTAAAGTTGCAGTGTTTTTGGCATCACGTGGCTAAACAGAAGGGGCCCACCTACGTTTTGTTTTGTTGTGTGTTTTTGAGACCGAGTCTTGCTCTGTTGCCCAGGCTGGCGTGCAGTGGCCTGATCTCGGTCATGACCTCCACCTCCTGGGTTCAAGCGATTCTCCTGCGTCAGCCTCCCAGGTGGCTGGGACTCCAGGTGTGTGCCACCACGCCCGGCTAATTTTTGTATTTTTAGTAGAGACAGGATTTCACCTTCTTGGCCAGGCTGGTCTTGAACTCTTGACCATAAATGATTGGCCAGCTTTGGTCTCCCAAAGTGCTGGGATTACAGGTGTGAGCCACCACACCCAGCCTTCCCTGTGCTTTTATCAGTGTCTGTTCCACTCCCCTCCCACTTCTGCCTGGGCCACACCTCGGGAGCCTCTGGGTTTAGGGGCAGCCTCCTTGCTGAGGCACAGCTGACCTACGAGGAGGGCGTCAGAGTGCCCCTGCGCTGCGTGGCTGCTGCTGCGCTTCAGGCTCCCATGCTCCCAGCTCCATGCTGATCATCCTGACCGTCCTTACCTGCTGCTTGGGTTCTCGCCTTCCCACCTGCCTCCACCTTCAGAGGGGTGCAGGGAGCATCTGTACCTCATCATGATTATTTTTCCCATTGCTTCCGCCAGATCAGAGCTTAAAGGAAGGACTGTATCATTAAGGAATATTTCACTGAAAAGAAAGAGAACACATGTCAACCAAACGCATCTCACCTTCGTCATTTCCCACAAGATAGCATAAGCTTGCAAGTCTGTGAGGCACTTCCACCAAGTCCCACCGCTGTTATTAGATGGGCACTAACTGTCCCTTCCATCCTCTGCGTATGCCTGCTGGTGTGACGCTCCGTCCCATAAAAAGGCAGTGAATACAACATGGCTCAAATCACCTTGCTCACTCAGCACCACCAACAGGAAGAAAATACAGCGAGGGTGGAGAGTTTAACCATTTTCATCGCTTTCCGAGGGATTTAAATATGAGAGAAAACTATTTGGCTCAATGTCAAGAAATCCTTAGCTGTTAATACGCTGAGGATACATGAGCAGGAAACTGGATAGTGCTTACACCGCTAAGAATGTGTCACAGGACAGCCATGGTTACCAAATAAATACATATTTTAGACAAGAAAATAAACATTCAGTGTATTAGCTTTCTAAGTTGCTCTGTTGGTTTTCATGCAGCTGTTATTAAAATTTAGAAACAAAAACTTATTGCCGTATGGTCAATAGACTGAGAAATGAATGATACAATATTGTCCCAAACATTTGCTCAAAATTGGCAAAAAGAGTAAGCCACCCAATTGTCTAAGGATTTTGAAATAGAAGAGTGTCTCGGTGATATTTCTCAGGTGTTAGAAATGCTGAATTGTCGTTACTGTTTCGTCCGCTCATGTTATGCAATATAACACCACCAGGAGCAGATGACCTTTAACTTGGGATCTAATGATGGAAAATTTTAGATTTGAGTGTTTTGTCGAGGATTCTAGGTTTTGAAGATTTTTAATTCATAAATACTATTATATTTCTTGTTACCAATCCACCAGAGTAAGAAATATTGTAGTAATTTGAACACGAGGATTAAACAGTAGATGAAATCAAGTGGATAGAATTGGAGCTTGGAGGAGCTGTGAACAGGCTTTGCAGTGACCCCAGCCTTCAAATGACACGCATGTGCCTTTTCTCTCCTTGCCCCAAGATGCTGACCCGCTGGTCACAGGGGCCCCCGGTGCACCCATGGACTTGCAGTGCCACGAGGCCAACCGAGACTACGTCATCGTGACCTGGAAGCCCCCCAACACCACCACCGAGAGCCCCGTCATGGGCTATTTTGTGGACCGGTGAGTGCCTTGCCTTCTCCTGGGAACGAAAATATTCCTGCATTGAATCTTACCACGGATGATATATTGGGAAATCTTTCTCAACGCAAGTTGAGGTTCCTATTCTAGGTACATGGCTAATTGGTTGTGTAAGGTCCTGATTAGGTGACTGGTAAATACACCAAGTAGGCTGAGCCCGGCAGAACCACACTTGGTTTCTTTTAGTTGAAGGTGGAGCCCTGTTTGCCTGTTGCACACCCAGGAACCAACCCCACCAATGTCCGCAGGCTCGCTCTCAGCCCGGTGCTGGGATTCTGCTGAGGTCTGGGCTGCGCCCTGTACCAGAGAGGGCCCTGGCTTGAGCAGAATTGAGGTTTGGAACTGTCCTTCCCTCCTGAGAGACAAAGTGGCTCATTTCTACCGAAGCTCCATTCCTTTTTCTATGGAGGAATAAGGTGTTCTTGTTTCCAAGTAAAAAAATCCAGAGCTTCAGAGTGTGAAATATTGGAGCTTGTGTTTGGGTTGATAACTTACATTTAGGTCATCATTGGAGCCAGTGGGGCTTTAACTCTTTGACTTCCCACATTGGGGACAGTGCTCAGTGCCTGGGAAGCATACTGAGCAGAGCCAGTGGGCTTATTGGATGTGCAATTTATGCCCTAAATACAAATTCCAGTTATTAGAGTAAGTTGTAGTTAAAGAAAATGAATTTAGAAAGGAGACAGACAGTGTAAGTGGATGGTTCCTGGTAGGAATGTAAAATTTTGTATGTATATTAAAAAGAAAAATAAGGTGATTATCTCAGGAAAAAAAGAGGATATTGCTTTTTTTTTTCTTTTTTTACGCTGATTAAATTCTCTTTTCCAATGAAGCTGCTTGTGGGGTGAAATGTTTGCCATCAAAGTAATATTTTGGGAATAGTAGGGAGTGCCATTCAGGGCTTACCTTGAGTTAAGCAACAATGACAACAGGAACAAGAAAAACAAACCCTCAAAGTGATGCTCTTTTCTCCTGGGACAGCTGATTAGTTTTCCGGCTAAGTTGACAAAAACCATTTCCTGCGCCATCTCAGTTAACAATCCACACACCTCCTCTCATTGTGAAAAAAGCAAACGTGAAAATCAAAGCAATAGAACCTTTTGGAAGCGGGGGATGCAGCTCCTCCCCTGCCCTTCCTTCAGGCTTGCAACTTGCCAGCTGTTGCCTGAAGTTGAAGGTTTTCCTGCCAGACATTTGATTTCAACCTTGTCATTCTCTTTGGCTAAAACAGGCCAGGGCAGGTGGATCAGAGAGCTTTCATTAAAAATGCTGGATGCTTAGGGGGCAGTGTTTTTTTTTCCCAGATGAAGACACCACTCTGGGGTTGAAGTGCTGCCTCCAGAAGACTGATTTTCTGAACTGGCTCTTTTCTGGGGATTTAACATGAAGATTTTTTTTTTTTGAGGCAGAGTTTCACTCTTGTCACCCAGACTGAAGTGCGATGGAGCAATCTTGGCTCCCTGCAACCTGCACCTCCTGGGTTCAAGCGATTCTCCTGCCTCAGCCTCTGAGTAGCTGGGATTACAAGCACTCGCCACCATGTCTGGCTACTTTTTGTATTTTTAGGAGAGACAGGGTTTTGCCATGTTGACCAGGCTGGCCTTGAACGCCTGACCACAGGTAATCCACCCACCTTGGCTTCCCAAGAAGGTTTTGTTTTTACATTTTTCAATCTGTGAAAAATGGAGGTTAATCTTTCCTATATTTTTAGGTTTCTGGTCAGAAATTAATATTTTCAAAAGACTTCCAAATTCCACGGGAATGCCCTAATGTCATTCTGGGAGACTGTAAGCCAGCTTTCCCGGGGAGCCCATGTCCTTGGCCCCACAGAGAGGAATGGGAGCTGTCTGTAGGCAGAGGGGGCTGAGCCTGTTTCCCTAGCCTGGGCCTCAAACAGACCAAGCTGCAGCTTGGGGGTGCCGTGACTATGTCGCATAAGTTGGAGAAAGAACTGTTCAGGAAACGGCTAAAATAACTTTGAGGACATTTTTGTCTAAATGTGTTTGATGACAGGAACTAATCTTTGGCTATAAATTATTAAGATTCATGGGTATATATTATATATATAATAGATATTACATATAATATATGTATTGCATTTTCTAAATAGCTCTGTCTTTTAAAGTTTGTCTGTACAAGTCGGTATTTTAGCAGCATGGATTTTACCGGCATGAGATATTTTCCTGTTATAATTGGTGCATGTATATATGTATATACCTATATAAATTTAGTAGGTTGCCGCATTTGCTATTGTTATTTCTTTAATGTTTTAACTTGAAGATGTGAAGTAGGAACGAATAATTGGGTTCAGTGCAATGATGCGCCAGTGAAAATCTGCAAATACCCAGTCACGGGGCTTTTTGAAGGAAGGTCTTACATATTCCGAGTGAGAGCAGTGAACAGCGCAGGCATCAGCCGACCCTCCAGGGTCTCGGATGCGGTGGCTGCTCTCGACCCCATGGACCTCAGAAAGTTACAAGGTAGGCCGCTCACGCCTAGGTTTTCACGGTGCCCAGGAAGCCTTGGCTGTTTGTGTGTGATTTGTTTCTCTTTCCCTCCCAACTCGATGTGAGCTGTAAGCACGCCCTGTGTGCAGAGCGTGGCACAGGCTGGGTCACTGCTGTCTGACATCTCCGCCAGCGTCGCTGTAGGAATGGGGACAGCCAGCCTGACATTTCCAGTCTAAAATGAATGTGCCTCACTTCCAGAAAGCTCTTTGCTGGAATCCCAGTTCAAGTGGCTCAGAATTAGACCTTTATACTCCATGAGTGATATAATTTCAGCACATAATGACACTTAGAAGGCCGTCCTGTTTCTGAGTTTTAATTTTGCACGACACAGATTCCTTAATGGGATTGAGTCCTTCGTTATGGTTTTAAGTGAGCCACTCCGTTTTTCTCACCCACGTGGTCCTTTGCATCCACCCCAAAGAGCTGAGACGTGCTAACTATTAACCAGGACACTTCTGTAATCAGCCAGGATGGCCCCAGAGGACTCACAGGTTGTAGTCCGAATGCAGAGGTGAATTAGGGAAAATGGGGGCTTTTGGGGAAACCTTTGCATATCAAATCAGGTGACAACCTTTCTCTCCGCAGCCGTTCATTTGGAGGGAGAGAAGGAGATCGTCATTTATCAGGATGACCTTGAAGGTAAGTAGTTCCACCCCTGGGGATTTGGACTTGTAGTTAGAGATGGGAGAGACCGATTGAGAACACCCCCTGCTGGGCACAGTCTCTGCATGGAAAAATGAAAACTGCAGGTCAGGCCTGTGAGCCCAGTGTCCACAGAAGTTAGAAAAAGGAAACAAACAAAAACGAGTAAGACAGAGAGAGTAAGACAGAGAGAGTGGGAACAAGGATGTCGGGGTCTCAGACTCAGCTTTCACTTGGGGGTGAATGTTACAAATGTATTCTTTCCGGGACCAGTAGGGAAGAAACGAGACTGAAGCTAAACTTGGTTGCCGGCTGATGTAAGATCCTTTCCCACAGATTGTGTTAGTCAAATCGTGTGTGTAAAAAATTCATTTTACATTTTCTAAGCAAAAATTTTATTCCTGACATTTTAACCGGAATGGTCTTTCCTGCCAAAGGATGTTCCTGGTGCTTATTTATATTTGATTTTGTGGATATTTTCTCTCTGATATTCCTTATAGAGAGCTTTAGAAAGAATGATATGCTAAGGAGAATCCAGTATTATTAACCAGAAATCAAAAGACTTTAATTGGACTTACAATTAGAGTTCATTGAGTGCCATGGGTGAAGGCTTGTAAAGAAAGATTTTCAATCAGTTTGGAGCCGCTGGCTAAGGAGTGGTGTTTCTGAGCTGCTCTTTAAAATCACAGCCGTGCTCTCTCTCTCTCCTAGAGCTGCAGATTCAAAAAAGCTTTATCTTAATTGGTTTTCTACATCTGAAGCAGATATGTCCCCAGCTGATATCCACACATTGCATTTTCTGCCCCTATAAAGATTTTTCTCTAGGATCTCAAAACTAACATATGTCCCAGTGTGTCCCATGAGGGACATCAACTCCCAAAAGAAGACCGTTAAGAGTTCTGGTCAAGCCAAGGTAACCTTTAAAGCCATCGTCAAATCCTCTGGCTCCAGGAGGACCCGGAACTCAGGAAAGACGCTGCACATAAGGAATGAAAGTGAAGACTTTGTGGAGGGCGACTTCATGCAGCTTCCTGGGCACCGGCTGGTTGACTCAGCCTAGTATTCTGTCCCATGCATGATAAACCCTCCCCATTTTTTTGGTGATGAAATCACAGACATTTGAATGAATGAAAAATGGCTCCAGAGTCTATGGGAAGAGAAGGCACACTCAAGGCAGGCCAGCCTGTGTAGAATGAGGCTTGGTGTTGGGACTCCGGATGAACAGGCAGTCCCCCTTCTCACTCCTCATGGGCAGGCAGATCAGGGAGGAGATGCACAGCCTGTGTCACTCTGAGTGGATGCGTGGGATTCCAACGTGGCAAAGATGACCACGGCGAGAAGGCGTAACTTACTTTACAAACGTCACAGATCTGTGATGAAATTTGCCTTCGGTAAAGGCCATTGTGAAGAGCACTGGGAAAGGGAAATAATGTAATCGAATGAAGCTTCCCCAGGCAGAAACCCTGCCTTTTTGGAGAGATGGTCTATCTTTCTAGCGAGACATGATTGTGGTGGGATATACGTTCACTACATGTCAAATGAAGAAAGAGTGCACGTCCTGAGGCTTGGTTTGCCAGCTGGTAAAATGGAAGTTTGGTATCTGGACACAGCAGCTGTCATTTCCGCCTGGAGTAAAGACTCAGATGCTACTTTCTGTGGCCTTGTGTTGTCCTTGCTTTCAGCAAGGCAGGTTTCTGGCTCCCTGGGCCTCTGCCCCCCTCTGTTTGAGGCAGTTGTGAACATGGCAGGATTTATTCATCCTCAGGGAACTTTTCCAGGGCTGTGTGTGTGCAGTGGGAAATGGGAGGCGGAGGGTGAGAATCTCCGGTGGAAGACTGCATGACTTGGGAGTTGGAAACTGCCTGGGGCATAGCCTCCTGGGCTTTGGTTCTCTGGTGTGACGCTTAGTGTACAGCGAACAGGCAACGTTCGTGGTCAGAAACAAACTGGGTATGGAATTGAAATTCTGCTCATTGATATGGGGGTTTGGGAAGTTCATCTGTTCCCCTCAGCCATTTTGACCAAGGAATACCTCCTCTAACTTAGAAAACCTTTAGCAAAGGAAAGAGATGCATAATATTTCTAAGCGAATCTTTCTGGGGTCCTCAAATTTCCTATTAGGAAGTTCCCTTTTCTACCCGTGTCTTTTTTCTTCAGCTGATTTTTTTTTCTTTTACCATTGCTTTAGCTAGAAAACAGTTGGCAAACTCCACTTGTTTTAATGAAACAAACTAATTACTGTTGTTGGCTAAAAGGGGGTCCTCTGCTGTTTTCGACTTTCTGCTGAGTTTTTCTCATCATTTTAATCTTGGGCGACCTCTTCCTGCAAACATCTAAATGGCTGTCCATGCTCTTTCCTTACCATCACCCAACTTTCCCAGTGTTTCTTGAATTGCTGCATTGAAAAATGGAAACTCTATTCTTGGAAAGGCCAGAGTAGACTCTGTCAGAATATAACGAGAGTGTTTTTACTCTACTGTTCTACCATTTGATTGTCTCCTGATTAGGCGTGCGGGCATTGGGGTGCTGTCTTGGGCCGGGTCCTCTGCAGCCCACGTGCTCAGTCACATGCTCTGCCCTCTGCCCGACTCACTCCTGTTGTTGGGCACCCCCTTGAATTCCGCCACATCTGAAATAAACTCAGTGTTTCATTGGCTTAGAGAAAAATTTCCTGGGGAGGTTGTGGTTTTCCTTAGGTGGACGAGGGAGCAAAATGCAGAAGTTGGAACAGGAAGACCTAAGCCTGGACCCCAATCCAGCCATCCAGTAGCTGTGCGATCTTAGGAAAGTGCTGCGTTTTCCTGAGCTCCATCTGTGGATTTTTAAGTGGAGGGAACCCATAGTATCTTCCTCCATACATGAACAGAACCAAAAACAAGATACTGGATGTGAAAGCTTTTTAAAACAATATGTATTATATATTGATAATGTATATAACATGTAATAATACAAAAATACTTGGCCCATTGGCACAGGGCTAGGGAGCCTTCAGGGCTGAAGCAGAGATGAGGGCAGCGTCAGTGCCCTGGGGGTAGAACTGTTCACCTGTGTCTTGCTGTGCTTAGTGATGTCTCACATGTGCTTAGCGGTGTCTCATGTGTTTGTGTGTGCTCAGTGGTGTCTTGTGTGTGCTTAGTGATGTCTCCTGTGTGCTTAGTGGGCTCTCATGTGTACTTAGTGGTGTCTCATGTGTGCCTAGCATTGTGTTTGTGCTTAGCGGTGTTTTGTATGTGCTTAGTGGTGTCTTGTGTGTGCTTAGCGGTGTCTCATGTGTGCTTAGCGGTGTCTCACAAGTGCCTGGTAGCATCTCATGTGCTTCATGGTATCTTACATGTGCTTAGCACTCTCTCGTGTATGCTTAGCAGTGTCTCGTGTGTGCTTAGTGGTGTCTCGCATGTGCCTAGTGGCATCTCGTGTGCTTAGCAGTGTCTCACATGTGCTTAGTGGTGCCTCACGTGTGCTTAGCAGTGTTTTCCATGTGCCTAGTGGCATCTCGCATGTGCATAACGTTCATTTGCTTTCTCTTGGCTCCCCTCTCAGCTGCGGGCTCATCACTCATTCCCACCCCGTTCTTCCCTCTCCATGGCTCATGGGACCCTTTTGAGTCCTTTTCTCAGCTCTCCATGGCTGAAGCATCTGCAAATCCACAGCGCTCCTGTGATTACATTGCCCAAGGTGATGAAGAATGTGAAGAATAATCCAAGTGTCTTGCACCCGCGGGGATCCACTGCTGACAAGACTGTATTCTTTCTTCTCATCTTGTCATCAAAGGAAATGTCTCTCTCTCCACTTCCTCTGGGCCTTTGGCTACGTGCAGGGGCAAAGGCGGCAAGACATTTCCGAAAGTGTGAATGAGATTCTGCTGTCAGCGGCTCACACTTGCTCACTGCTTCTGTTCTTTGCCTTGTTCCTTCTGTCCCCTTGTTTGCTTCCCTCATTAGCGCCTCTGAAAATTAACCAGGATTCAGTTTTGGAATTTCAGTGTGTATTACAGGAAGATGAGTTTTCCAGGTCTTCTCTCTGTAATGCTTTTTTCTGTGCGTCTTGAGGTGTGGACACAGTGCACGAGTGGAGAGCAGGCCCATGGGGTGTCCCCTGCCCTACCTGGTCTCCCTCTGTGCTTTCAGGAGACACTCTGACTCCTTGTTTGAAATTCAGTGCCTTACTGGAATGATCCCAGCTCAGCCTGCGTGGCCTCGAACACGCAATGCGCCATGCAACAGGACTCAGGAAACAAAACTCAGTCTTGCTTTGTGCTGTTTCCATGTTCAGTTTCTGGCCTGCCACAGAGACCTGAGGGAGAACTGAGTTTTGAGAAGGGCTCAGAGATGTCCCGGGGAGGTTTCAGACCATTTTAATCATGTGCTAATCTAATTGGAGGCTCATAGTATTTTGTATCACAATTTCAAGAACTGTGGGTCTGGAAAACCTCCACCTCCACTCCTTATGAGCATCTCCTATAAATTCAAACAGAAATCCCCACACCTCACAGTATGTTAAAAAAAAGATGTATGTCAGAAGAGGGGCGTATGGAGCATGTAATAGTTATTTGAAAATGTCACTCCAGAACTCAAACATGCAGGCATAGAATACGGCGCCTGTGAATACAGGACCCATCTTGTGAGTGGGGAGCAGGCAAGATGCTTTAGAAGTAGGTGTATAATTTAAGTGCTCTGAGGGCACACGTATAAAGAAAGAACCCAGAGAGGATCCTTAGAAGTGGGGCCGCCTGGCTCTGCCGTGCCTAAGTACTGCGGAACACAGACTGCGAACGCGTTCTCTGCACAGATTCCCAATACAGTTTGAGGAACTCCATTTCAGGCACTATCCCTGGTTTCTTCTGGTAAATCCTTCCTCCTCTTCCAGAAGATTATCTGGAAGACTTTCGTTTGAGATTCTTTTTTTTTTGACGGCGTCTCACTCTGTTGTCAGGCTGGATTGCAGTAGTATGATCTCGGCTCACTGCAGCCTGTGCCTCCTGGGTTCAATCAATGCTCCTGTCTCGGCCTTCCGAGTAGCTGGGACTACAGGCACACACCACCATGCCCAGCTAATTTTTGTATTTTTAGTAGAGATGGAGTTTCATCATGTTGGCCAGGAGGGTCTCGATCTCCTGACCTCATGATCCACCTGCCTCAGCCTCCCAAAGTGCTGAGATTACAGGCGTGAGCCACCACGCCTGGCTGAGATTCTTTTCTTATGAACTGGCTTATTTCTGTATTGGAAGCCAAAATAACTGGATATCTTTAATGGTTCCTTATCCTCTGGCTCTGAAGAAGCAGTCCTTGGGGTTTGTTTGCTTTCCCCAAATAGAAACGAAGTGAAGAGCAACAGCCACCTCGCAGAGTCCTCCAGTGCTGAGAGGTGGGTCCTCCAGCACTCACTGAGCTTATTATTCCTCCAGGTGATGTCCAGATTCCAGGGCCTCCCACCAACGTGCACGCCTCTGAAATCAGCAGAAACTATGTCGTCCTCAGCTGGGAGCCACCCACTCCCCGCGGCAAGGACCCGCTCACGTACTTCATCGAGAAGGTAAGCTCCAGGCCTGTGTCCTGGAAAAGCTGACCTCTGCGTGGCCTCACACCATCGTGTCTGCTGTGTTTTAAAGATGATTTGTGGGTACAGATGCTTCACCGTGGCTGGGGAAGATGAGGTTAGGGCTGAGGTCACGCCACAGGGGGGCGTTCTGGGGTGGAAATTGGCCCCAGGGGCTGGGCTGCGTCCTAGCCCAGTGTTGCCCCTTGGTGTGAAGCTGCTTCCCTCTCTGAGCGCCTGTGTTCTCCACTGCCCTGTGGATGGCTGACCTTGAGGGATCTACCTTTTCCTTCCTGCTCTAACCTTCCAGGCACCAACATGCTAGGTATTCCAGATTCCTCACTGGCTTTGATTGTGCATGAGCCGTGTGGCCATTGGGTGGCAGTCGTGTATAGGAAATTCACACAAGACGGACGGGTTAGAGTCACCAGATCATCTGCTGCAAGGCTCCTTTTTTGACCTGAATGCATACAATGAAATACAAAATACATTGTACACTGCAGTTCTGCAAACACATACGCAACAGACGCAGGCGCATGTATATGTATGTAACCTAGAGAATCTCACAAATTCTCTCTTTAAGCACGCATTCTCTCTTAAAGCTGGTCTGTCCTGTGGCATTAAAAACACAGGTTGTGACCCACTAATCTGACTTGGTGACCCTCTGTTGGGTTGTAGGCCATAGTTGGATAAGCCTCCTATGTCCTGAAAAGGCTGTCACTAAAATTTATATACTAATATGTGATACAACATATAGTATGCACGTGATGGAGAATATAACACATCTAAGCTTATGCCATCTAATACAATAATCACATATAGCAGCACTCAGTACAGCATGGCAGAAACAGACATGGAAATGGACCATATTTCAGACTCCAGAATGAAGGAGGACCCTTTGGCCTTCTCTGCTTATCTGCAATGCATGATATCTGGGGGGTAGAAAGTGCAATAATTTCAGGGTAAAGCATTAAATTATTAATTCTGGGTGACAAAGTGTACTTATTATGAAAATACAAGTGTCCAGTCCCTCTGTGGGGCTCTCCTAGGGCAGAAGCCATATTCTCAGGCCCCTCACCCCCTCATCTTCCGTCACTACCAGAAACACCAAGTTTGCAAACACATTTTTATTTTGAGACCAGTTCTCATTCTGTCACTCAGGCTAGAATGCAGGGGGCAATCATAGCTCACTGCAGTCTCTACCTCCTGGGCTCAAGCCCTCCTTCTGCCCTAGCCCCCTGACCCCCAGAGTAGCTGGGACCACAGGTGTGCGCCACCATACCCAGCTGATTTTCAATTTTTTCATAGAGAGGAGGTCTCTCCATGTTGCCCAGGCTGGTCTCAAATTCCTGGCTCAAGCAGTCTTCCTGCCTCAGCCTCCCAAAGTGCTGGGATTACAGGCACTTTAATGTGTTTGCAGGCCAGGTGAGCCATGACACCTCACCTGTGAACACACTTTTAGAGCGAGGACTCTACCGGGAGTCGGTACGTGGGCAGACTCTGTCGACATCCCTGCCTGCTGTCAGTATTGATGACATGACAGGCACGCTTTGTTTTTTGTTGGTAAATTTTATTATTTTATTTTTCCATAAGTTACTGGGGGTACAGGTGGTATTTGCTTACATGAATAAGTTCTTCAGTGGTGATTCGTGAGATGTTGGTGCACCCATCACCTGAGCAGTGTACACTGCACCCCATTTGTAGTCTTTTATCCCTCGCACCCCTCCCACTCTTTCCCCCAAATCCCCAAGTCCATCATCTTCTTATGCCTTAGCGGCAGGCACACATTTTTAAGAAAATGTAATTTCAACTTTTATTTTAGCTTCAGGGAGTACCTGTGTAGCTTTTGACAAGGGCATGTTTTGAGACACTGATTTCGAGGTGCAATTGATCTTATCACCTAGCTGGTGAGCACAGCGCTCCGTAGGTAGTTTTTCAGCCCTTGCCCTATGTGTTAGGCCTGGGCGCCTACTGTAGACATCTTTGTGTCCACGTGAACTCAGTGTTTAACTCTCATTTGTAAGTGAGATCATACGGTATTTGGTTTTCTGTTCCTGTGTTAAATCACTTAGTATAACAGCCTCCAGCGGCACCCATGTGGCTGCACAGGACAGGATTTTGTTCCTTTTTATGGCTGTATAGTATTCCACAGTGGGGTTGCACTGCATTTTCTCTATGCAGTCTACTACTGACGGGCACCAGGTGGGAGGATTCCATGTCTTCACTGCTGTGAACATACAGGTGCATACGTCTTCTGGTAGAATGATTTATTTTCCTTTGGGCATATCCCCAGTAATGGGATTGCTGGATGAAATGGTACTTCTGTTTTAAGTTCTTTGAGAAGTCTCTAACCTACTTTCCCCAGTGGCTGAACTCATTGACGTTCCCCCAGCAGCGGATAAGCATTCCCATTACGGGTCCACGTTTGGATGTAGGAGAGGGAGCTCTGCTGTAGCCACCTGGACTGCAGTTGCTTGGGGCTGGGAGGGGCTCAGGCCCATGACGCCGTGGGGTTCCCACCACAGATGCCTGGGGCAGATGCAAGATAGCGACTTTTCACATTCACCAAAGTGAGAGAAGACGCCTTCAAATACGAATCTAATTTCTAGAAGTCTGGGTCGCTGTCTAAAATTTTCAGCAGACTTAGCAGGTCAGTGTATATCCAACTTTTACTACCGCAAAACTACATTCAAGAAAGGAGTTTTATCTCTATGTGAAAAAAAAATAAAACATGTAATCAGGGTTTTTTAAGTAATTACAAAAGACAGAAATTAAACAAGCAGTATATAGAATTTGGGAAAGACAGAGGAGTTACATGGAATACAATTAAAATCAACAATAATTCCATCATAAAATAGCCATATTCATATGTGGTACATATATTTATAGTCTTTTTCTCCATAGATTTTAATGTACTTGTTATATTACACAATTTTCATTTTGTGTTACATTTCACAAAGTAACATAATTCCTCTTATTAAAGATTGTAATACAATATTTAGGTGGCTATGTGGTTTTTAATCTAGGCACATGTAATGTGTTTTACTGTATTGACAGTCATTTAGATTACTGACATTTTATCACTGCCCCAAGTAGCCACACTATGGTAATAATTTTAAATTGAAATGCTACTCACTGAGTTATGATGGAATTTTACAAATATACTCCTAAATTATCTTTCATTATTTGCAAGTTAATTCCATTTTACTAAAACTACAACCTAGGTATTGATTCCCTTACATTTTCTATGGTTGAATAATTTAATGGAAAAAAATTGTATTAGTAAACATTATCAACTGTGGGTAATTTACTTCCTTCTCCAAATTGGTATCATTGTCATACAGCTCAGAAAAGGCCGGCTGTGGTGGTTCATCCCTGTAATCCCAGCACTGTGGGAGGCCAAGGCAGGCAGATCATGAGGTCAAGAGTTCGAGACCAGCCTGACCAACCTGGTGAAACCCTGTCTCTACTAAAAATACAAAAATTATCTGGACATGGTGGCACGTGCCTGTAATCCTAACTACTCAGGAGGCTAAGGCAGGAGAATCACTTGAACTCGGGAGGTGGAGTTTGCAGTGAGCAGAGATCACGCCACTGCACTCCAGCCTGGGCAACAGAGCGAGACTCCATCTAAAAAAAAAAACAAAGATGCATGCCCATCCTCTGTGTGAGATGCAGCGGGAGCACCTGGTGGACCTGCGTTGGCGAGAACGGAGCTTCCTTCCACACAACTCTGGGAACGTCTCTCTTTTCACTTCCAGTCTCATTTCTCTTTGTAGTCCGTGGTGGGGAGTGGTAGCTGGCAGAGAGTCAACGCCGAGACGGCTGTGAGGTCCCCGAGATATGCCGTGTTTGACCTTATGGAGGGGAAGTCGTACGTGTTCCGAGTGCTGTCAGCAAACCGGCACGGCCTGAGCGAGCCGTCAGAGATAACATCTCCCATTCAGGCCCAGGACGTAACTGGTGAGCCGTCACCCTGGGTGCCCCCAAGTCAGGACAGGCTAAGAGTGGCGTGACACCAAATAGCCTAAAATTTTGTGACTAAAGACATTAACGTTGTAAGCAAGTTGAAGTTCAAGTTGAATTTAAAATGACTTTATGAGTGATTAAGAGCTCTCTGACATTTCTCGACATTTCTCTGAAGCTCCATCTTCTTTTCATGAAGCCAGTAAGTGAGCTGAAAAATACATTTAGGAAATAGTCACTTTTATTGTTTTTTTTAAACTTTTGTTTTAGGTTCAGGAGTCTATGTGTAGGTTTGTATTATGGGGGTGTGTTGTAAAGATTATTTTGTCATCCAGGTACTAAGCCTAGTAGCCATTAGCTACTTTTCCTGCTCCTCTCCCTCCTCCCACCCTAGACCCTCTAAAAGGCCCCAGTGTGTGTTGTTCCCCTCTATGCGTCCATGTGTTCTCATCATTTAGCTCCCACTTGTAAGTGAGAACACTCGGTATTTGGTTTTCTGTTTCTGCATTAGTTTGCTAAAAATAATGGCCTCCAACTTGACCCATGTTCCTGCCAATGACATGATCTTGTTCTTTTTTATGGCTGTGTGGTATTCCATGGTGTACATGCACCACATTTTCTCTATCCAATACGTCATTGATGGGCATTTGGGTTGATTCCATGTCTTTGCTATTGTGAATAATGCTACAATGAACATTCACACCCATATGTCTTTATGGTAGAACAGTTTATATTCTTCTGGTTATATACCCAGTACTGGGATTGCTGGGTTGAATGATAGTTCTTTTTTCGAGGAATGATGACACTGCTTTCCACAATAGTTGAACTAATTTCCATTCCCACCAACAGTGTGTAAGTGTTCCCTTTTCTCTGCAATGGTCACTTTTAAAGTAATTCACATTTTAAGTACACTAGGGTTCTTTTGTGTGTATGTGTGCGTGTTTTTAAAAAAAACTGTTTTGTAGAGACAGGGTTTCACCATCTTGCCCAGGCCAGTCTTGAACTCCTGAACTCAAGGAATCCTCCCATGTTGGCCTCTGAAAATGTTGGGATTCCAGGCGCGAGCCAGTGCACCCAGCCAGGCAGTAGAGTTTCTTGCCCATCTGGCTTGAGGGTCCCTCTTGGAAGGTTTCAAATACAGATAACAGAAATTTTGAATTGTAATCCCTGAAGTCATAACTCCTTCATGGATTGCAGTTAACTAGCGTGTAAATGGAGGCCCCATGGAAGTCCCCAGAAGCCTTCATGGGAGGTACGCTGGTGTCAGGAACGCAGTTCTGAGTGCCTGGGTGCCCTCCACACTCTCTCTCTATGCTGTGTTTCCTGAGAAAGCCACATACAGAAATGAACAATGTCACGAGGCCGGCTGCCTCCAGGGTGTCCTCGAGTTTCTAACTGGTTCTGGTTTTAACTGAAGTTCTTAGAACTCATACCCAGAACCACAGGCTTGACGAGACCAGCTGTCTCTCACAGGTCCCAGCCTTCTTTTGATTTATGGCATATGTGGAGAATGACCGTGAGCATAATTGAGAAACACTGTGGTTTTGGCCCAGGTGGCCGGCACAGAGGACACGCGTGGTACCGTGGCCTGAGCAGACCCCAATCCGCAGTCCACTAGTGAGGCCTGGCATGAGATGAGAAGATCTGATGGTCATGTCATGATTGAATTTTGAGTCCCCTGGGAGATTCCAAAAGATCTGATAAAAACGAGTCTTACTTTCTTAAAATTGGTAATTTCCAGTCCAAAAAATAGTTGTTACCCAGGCAGCCTGACCCCCAGTGCCAACAGAGGACCTTTTTAAAGCTCTGGTGGAGGACAGGAGGCTTCAGGATGTCATTCTGTGTCTCTAGGAGTTGTGTGGAGCTCAGGAAGAGATGGGAGTGGCCAGCCCCTCCCAACGTCCCTCGGGTGGTCGGCCCTGGACTCGGCTCCTGCTCTCAGACCCCTTGTTGAATTTCTTCCAAACCCCCAACTGGCTGTCCAGTTCCCTGTGAAAAGGTCAGGGAGATCTCTGGTGTAGCCCCCAAAGCTCTGATGCCATTTCATCACTCCTGTTGTCTCCTACATAAAGTTGTCCCTTCTGCTCCTGGTCGGGTTCTTGCATCCCGAAACACCAAGACGTCAGTGGTGGTTCAGTGGGACAGACCCAAGCACGAGGAGGACCTGCTGGGCTACTACGTGGACTGCTGTGTGGCCGGAACCAATGCCTGGGAACCCTGCAACCACAAGCCCATTGGATACAACAGGTGCGGCTCCCGCTTCCCACCCCGGCCCTGGAGTCAGCAGTGAAATGAAGCATGAGAAACAAGACCATTTAGGTCCCATGGCCCCCAGCACAGGGAGAACCATGGTCGCAAGGCTTCTGCATACATGAGCCTCAGCCACACGAGAGGGCTGTGTACTTTTAAGGTTTGACTACTTGGATGAGCTGCTTACGACACATGCTCATCTTCACCGAAATGATTTATTTATGAATTAAAGGAGAGTTCCAGAACCTGTTTTTTTTTTTTCTGACATAATTAACACTTAAGCCTTTTCTTTGACTATAGTTGAAAATAGCAACTATAGTTGAAAATAGTGACTACGATGTGAAAGTCATTTTTTTTTTGGTATTGATTTTTTTGAACTTTAAAGTTGCTTTGTTCACGTGCCTGGTAGTTCTATTCTCCGGCTCCTGATGGAGACCCCGCCAGGAGCCCACACTTTGCTCGTGATGGGGGCAGCTCGGGGGATGCTGGTTGGCTTTGCAGGTGAAGGCCAGTGGTCCTGCCTTTGGAGAGGACTTTCTCCTGCTGCCTGCTGAGTGTGCGGTATGTCTGAGGTTATTCAGTTTCTCTGCAACGTGCTTCTTAGGAAAATGTAGGCAGCTGCCAGAATCACCCTTGTGGATGGATGATCAATTATGGCTCAGCCATTTCTCCTTTTAAAATCTTAAAAAAATACACTGTAAAAAGCAGTGGCTAACAAGGACAGATGTCGTTGAGAAGAACAACAATTAGATGTTCTTCTCAGTCCACACCAAATGCAGAAAGATCAATCAAAATAAGAAACTTAAAACATTATTCTAATACAAGGAAATGGTTAGAAAATATTTATTGACTGTTTGTGATAAATAATAATTGCTTACATGTACTATCTACCCTGCACAAGGTGCTTGTGCTAAGTTCTCTACCTAGAGTTTTCCATGTAGTGCCTGCAACAATGCTGTGAGGTAGGGATTATCATCCCCATCTTAGAGATAGAAAAACAGAGTCTTACAGGGGTTAAGAAACTTGATTAAGGTGATAACATCTGTTAGGTGTCAAAGCCAGTATTTGAGGCTAGTCTATCTGACTTCAAAGGCTTGGCCTTTAGCCACCGCAGCATGATTACTGCTCATTACACTTTACGTACCTGGGTTCTTTCAGATAAGAAATGGCATACTGTTGGATAATAGACCTTTGATCCAGACGAGGCCCAGAAAGTGCAAAAGCAAAGGTGAAGTCACAGAACAAGTGGCTTTGACACCACTTGTAGTCACTCCGGCTGTAATTGGTTGCCATGACCTTACTTTCAGGCTCTAAATGTTGAGCTAATTAACTAGAACTGGAAATGAAGGATGTATGTGATGAATAAAACTTTTGCATGATGTGTTCAACATGATTTCCGTTTCTGCTGCAGGAGAGAAAAAGCAGAGCTTCGCAGTTCTGACCCTGGTCCCTGTGTTTCCCAGGTTCGTGGTGCACGGCTTAACCACGGGAGAGCAGTACATCTTCCGGGTCAAGGCGGTCAATGCCGTGGGGATGAGTGAAAACTCCCAAGAATCAGACGTCATAAAAGTACAGGCGGCACTCAGTAAGTCGCTCACGGCTGTTCTGTGCCAGTCGCTCCCGTACACTGTAATTTCTGCATGAAGAAACATTTATGATGCCATTTGGAATGTTACTGGAGGAAAAAAGGAGACCAACTGGTTGAACAGAGAACACGCAGTTCTTCAAAGCCTCTTGGCTGGCTGCTTGTCTTAGAAATGATAGTGCGAGAGGCAGAAATGATAATATGCCAATAAAGTGCAAATTAAAAATAAAAACATTAGAGGTCACATGTGTTGCCAAATACCTGTACTCACGTTAAAATATATGCTGTAGGGGATACATTTCTGTTTTCAAAATCTGTGCTAAAATACAGCAACATCAATCACCTTACTCAGCTCAAGGAACTTAAATCATTTCAGGGAATGTCACGTTTATAGAACTTTGTGACTTTGTTCGTAAACAGAGATGTTTACAGTTTTGATCAAACGAGACAGTTGGGATCCTAAGTCTCAGGGACCGTCTGTAGAACAGCTGCTCTACAAAGCTGCGCTGCATCCTTGTGTCTGTTTTCTTATGACATGCACCTCACCAAGAAAGCACACATATTCAGGAAGATTTTGAAACACAAATGTCACATATGACATATTTTAACTCACAGAGAGAACAGTTTTGCTCTTTAATGATTTTTCATCTCCAACTAAATTTATAATATTTTGGGAAATTAAAACTTATCTTCTAATGATATTGCTGCTGGATTTCCAGGGAATGTCAATTGTGATAACACCTAGACAGGTACAATAGCACTAACTGTTTTGTTTTAAGATAACTCTAAACTCCTCTCAGTTTTTTCAGAGGGATTTTCAAACATTCCCATTTTCCTTTTTAAGTCACTCCTACTAAATGAAAGCCAGTCTCTCTTTTTTGAGATAGTCTCTCGTCTATGGCCACACCACCCTGAACGCGCCCAGTCTCGTCTGATCTTGGAAGCTAAGCAGGGTCGGGCCTGGTTAGTACTTGGATGGGAGATAGAGTCTCACACTGTTGCCCAGGCTGGAATGCAGTGGTGCGATCACAGCTCACTGCAGCCTCAACCTTTTTGGGCTCAAGCGATCCTCACGCCTCAGCTTCCTGATTACCTAGGACCACAGGCACACACTACCATGCCCAGCTAAGTTTTTAATTTTTTTGTAGAGATGGGGTTTCACCCTATTGCCTAGGCTGGTTTCAAACTCAGGAGCTCAAGCAATCCTCCTGCCTTGGCCTCCCAAAGTGCTGGGACTACAGGCATGAGCCACTGCGCCCGGCCTGGTTTTATTCTACAGTAAGAATCACTTACTCTAGTCAACTGTGTCTCAGGTAACAGAGGATGGCCACGTTGAGGTGACTCAGAGCTAGGCCAAAGCAGACTCGGGACCATCCATTCTAGACCTGAGAGCTGAAGGCGGTCCGTTTCAAATGTCCTGCTCAAACAGGGAAACAAGAATTCATACTCATTTGAAGGAATCTGAAGTTCCTATAACTGTGCAGGAAATTAAAATAAGCTGGAATAGTATCTGTCGTCTCTGGCCACAGATGCAGAGTAGCTGCTCCTTACGGTTGTAAAGGCGAAAGCTCGTCTCCAAGCTTCTTTTAGGGACATGGAGGACGGGACATCTGCTCTGCCAAATGCTTGCACCAGATTAAACTGTTCAGTGCCCTTGTCCTATGGAAACTTCAGCAGATACATTTAGAATAGCAATAAATATATATGAGAGATGCTGTTATTTATTTTTATACTCATCCCCTTTAAAGAGGCGTAAAGATCAGAATGGTTAAATGTGGGTCGAGAAGGATCAGAGGGCTCGGTGTCTAGGCCCATCTCCACATGGCTTCCTCCACCCTCTGCCACGCTAGAGCTGGTGGCCCTGGGACAAAGCCCCTGGCTGAGGTCCCTGGTGACTTCCTGGTTGTGCTTCCTTGCAGCCGTGCCATCCCATCCTTACGGGATCACGCTCCTTAACTGTGACGGCCACTCCATGACCCTCGGCTGGAAGGTCCCGAAGTTCAGCGGTGGCTCACCCATCCTGGGCTACTACGTGGACAAGCGCGAAGTTCACCATCAAAACTGGCACGAGGTCAATTCCTCGCCCAGCAAACCGACAATCCTAACGGTTGGTTGGTTTTTGTCTGTTCTTTTTTTCTTGCCTGGGTGGTTCTTTTACATTTTGGGCAGTGTTTCTGAGTTTGGTGGCATTAGATAATTTGATACAGACACAAAAATGGGTTAAAAAATGGCATCATGAGGTCATGAAGCTTTGGAGCTGAAAAGATGCTAGGAATCATGTTCTTTTTCTTTCTGAGAAGCAGTGAAGAAGAGAGCTCAGTGACGGAGTGGGTCTGGCAGTGAGTCAGTGACCTCTGGTGTGACCAGGACCTGGTCCCGGTACCCGTGATAACGTCCCTTGTTCCAAGCTCTGAGGCCTTGAGGGTAGGGATGCAGTTTCATGGGGATGCCCGAGGGGAGAGTCATGCTGAATGTGTTTAGGAAGAGAGTGACATTGACTCTCTGCCTGTCACCCACCGCTTCCCTGAGACATGCTTGTATGTCAAGCCTCTAGAGGAGTCCCTTGCTGCAGTGCCTGTGATGCTCAGGTGCAGATGGCGAGGACATCAACACAGAGCTCAGAGATCTGGGGTCAGATCCAGACGCACCCTTGGCAGCCACGGTCCTGTATCCCTCTCTGGCCCTTGACCCCTCATCTGAGCATGGATGAAGGACCGTCACCTCACACTGCATCCCCCATCCCAACCCCGAGACAGCCACAGACCCCTGGGGAGTCTCTTACACTCCAACAGGAGGGCTTTCTTTTTGGAGGGGGCAAGGTCTTCAAAGAGCTAATCTTTGTCTACTAGAAAATTCTGCTTTATAAATATATCTCTTATAATATGTAATATATTTTTAATATTTTATGTATACATTATGATATATGGGCAACTTTCCAGTTTGTTGTGACATTATTGATATCTTGCCCACATTCAATCTGTGTTCCCATGCCTTAGAATGTCTACATGTTCTCAACTTAAAAATTATTTTATTTTTAATTGACAAATAATTGTTTGTACAAATGGGGTACAATGTAATATTTTAATATTGCATTATGGATTATGGGTACATTAGCTTGATTAAATCAAGCTAATTAACATCTTCATTGCCTCCCAGTACTTATAATTTTTTGTGGGGAGAACATTTAAAATCTGTTTATTTATGTATTTATTTATTTTTTGAGACAGTGTCTCACTCTGTCACCCAGGCTGGGGTGCAGTGGCACGATCTCGGCTCACTGCAAGCTCCGCCGCCCAGGTTCAAGTGACTCTCCTGCCTCAGCCTCCCAAGGAGTACAGGCGTGCATCACTACACCTGGCTAATTGTGCATTTTTTAGTTGTGACAGGGTTTCACCATGTTGCCCAAGTTGGTCCTGAATTCCTGACTGACCCCAGGTGATCTGCTCATGTTGGCCTCCCAAAGTGCTGGGATTACAGGTGTGAGCCAATGTTCCTGGCCTGAAATCTATTCTAAAAATCGTTTGAAATCCATCTACAACACATTATTATGGGCTACATCATCTCTGTGCTGTACAAGAAGTGCCAGAACTCCCCCATCCTGTTCCTGCTGGAAGTTTGTCCCCCTGGGCCAGCACCCCCCCCCCTGCCCTGTGCCCGCCCTCCGGGCCCCTATCTGTGTGAGCGCAGCTGTTTTGGATTCCACATCTGAGCGAGGCCACGCCTGTCTGTCCTTCTGTGCCTGGCTCATCTCACTCAGCAAAACAGTCCTTTACTCCATGCGACATTCCTGGGAAAGACACCGGCTTCCTTTCGGAATGCTTCGCTGCTACTTCAGTGAGGAGGATGAAGGCCCTCACCTCGGACTGAAGTGGTTTACCCTCAGACATCTTGCTATGGAAGCTGTTTTTTGAAACAGTGTTTACCTAGAGAGTGTTTTTGTTCCGCAGGCCATGCAGAGTGAGGCTCCTGGAGTTGGCCAAAGGCCTTCCTAGAGCTTTGTCCCCTAGCCAGGCAGCGTCCTCAAGGGTCTGGGGGGTGGCCCAGGACTGCAGCACCCCAGAACCTGGGCAGCCCGGGGGCCCTTGCCCTGCGGAGTCCGAGTGTGGGGCACATGGCAGGCTTCATCTCCAGGGTGACCCCCTTGTGTCCAGCACACGGCCTGATCGGGGGATAGCGTGTGACTTGAGTGCCTGTCTCCTCCAGGTCTCTGCCCTTGCCTTGGCTCTGGGCAACAGTCACCTCTCTGGGCCTCAGTTTCCTTACCTGCTCCTGGGGTACCACCTGTCCCCTGTCCCCCGTAGGAGCCTTTGGGAACTGAGTGAGGGATACATGTAAGGTTTCATGCAGCTGCGGCTTGTCAGATGCATCAGGAGCCTTCCTGAAATATTTGCTCCAATTTCCTGACAAGGTTCCTTCCTCTCATGTTTTATTTCACAAGCCAGTTATAAAAACTCCTTTCCCTCAGTGGGTTGTACTTTATCTCACGTAATCATTTAAACAAAATCTGAATAGGTGGACGGCTTGACGCAAGGCTCACTCTACGAGTTCAAAATTGCTGCCGTCAACCTGGCCGGCATCGGGGAGCCCTCAGACCCCAGCGAGCACTTCAAGTGTGAGGCCTGGACCATGCCAGAGCCCGGTGAGTGGCTGCCCCCAGGACACCTGCCTCCTGGTGCACAGGCTGGCTGGGAAGGGGCCTCTGCGGCTGCGGCTCAGGCCTTGACAGCTTTCACAATGCATCTTTTCCTCTGACACCTGCAGCCACAGAGCCATTGTGCGCCAGGCACTGTGCAGGACTGTGAGTTGAGTCAGGCAGACACAGGGTCTAGTCTGGGGCGTGTGTGGTCCAGAGGCTGATGATGAAGGCAGAATAGGAGGCCCTGAGGTGAGGCAGGAGGGAGCACAGGACACCCAACCCAGACCGTGGGGGAGAGGGACAGCTTCCCATGCATCCCCTGACCTATGACAAGGACCTGGCCTGGGTCCCCTTCCCCTAAAGGAGCAGAGAGGGACCGAAGGGCAGGCAGAGAGGGTCTCAGGTGGAGGGGAAGGTGCCAGCCCAGGCCCCAGCTGGGAGGCACAGCAGGGCTCTCCTTTGTGGGTGACCTCCTGCTGTTTTCCTCTCAGACCGTTTGGGGATCTCGGGGCTTCCAGTTCTAAAAGGCATAACAGTTGCAAATCTGCTTTGATTTAGCTCGCACTCCACTCGTTTTTTATTTTGAGATGAGGTCTCTCTATGTTGCCCAAGCTGGTCTTGAACTCCTGGGGCTCAAGCCATCTTCCACCTCAGCCTCATGAGTAGCCGGGACTCCAGGTTCACGTCACTGTGCCCTGCTCACACTCTCCGCTTTCACAAGTTCTCAAGTGCCAGACATTGATTTGTCTCTAACCTGTCAGGGATCAAATGCGATGGATGATATATGTGTACTTCAACAAAGTAAAACCTGAAAGTTGAAGCTGAAAAAGTTGAAAGTTCAGAGTGTTTTCCAATGTTATGGCCAGAGTATACTGCCTTTTTCCTTTCAGTCAGTGTCTTTTGACTTAATAAATCAGCTGCTAAGAATCCAAATAAAAAAATCCTTCCCCTCCCCTCCCCTCCCACCCTCCCTTCCCCTCCCCTNTTTGAGATGGAATCTCTCTCTGTCCCCTAGGCTGGAGTGCAGTGGGGTGATCTCAATTCTCCTGCCTCAGCCTCCTGAGTAGCTACAGGCATGCACCACCATGCCCAGCTAATTTTTGTACTTTTAGTAGGGTCAGGGTTTCACCATGTTGATCAGGCTGGTCTTGAACCCCTGACCTTGTGATCCACCTGCCTCAGCCTCCCAAAGTGCTGGGATTACAGGTGTGAGCCACTGCACCCGGCCCTAGGCCTGCCTCTTAGATCCTTGATGTAATTGCATCCTTGAAACTGCTATGACAGGTAGGGTGTGACCCACTGCTCCATTTCCTACAAGATGACCCTGAAATTCAGAGATGCTAGGAGACTTTTTCAAGGCCACACAGACTAGCAAGGATTGTGGCCTAGGTGACCCCTAGGTCCAGTGCTCCTTGTTCTGGCCCTGCCTCTGCGGTCTCCCTCCTGTAGTTGGAGGGCAGCTTTACCCCATCTGCTGCCTTTGCAGGCAACGCTTCTGACAAGGACTTGGCAGACCTGGTTTCGGAGATGGAGGTGATGAAGCTGATTGGCCGACACAAGAACATCATCAACCTGCTGGGTGTCTGCACCCAGGAAGGTAGGGCAGAGGCGGGGCTGGTGGCATGGGCTGTTAGGGCTCAGAGCCACAGCTTTGGCAGCCTCTCTGTGCGCTCCCTTCGTAGGGCCCCTGTATGTGATCGTGGAGTGCGCCGCCAAGGGAAACCTGCGGGAGTTCCTGCGGGCCCGGCGCCCCCCAGGCCCCGACCTCAGCCCTGACAGTCCTCGAAGCAGTGAGGGGCCGCTGTCCTTCCCAGTCCTGGTCTCCTGCGCCTACCAGGTGGCCCGAGGCATGCAGTATCTGGAGTCTCGGAAGGTACAGGCAGTGGGGCTCTGGGCCCCTGTCAATCTCTCCATCTCCACTCTCTCAGGCCTGTGGCATTAAATGTCCCCAACTTCTCCCTCTCTGCTCTTTTTCATTACCCCACCTCAATGTCCCCAGGCTTTCGCACCTTCCCAAATTCCCCACTTGTTCCTCACACGCCTCGCCCATAGGCTCAGAGGATGCAGGAGAGGGTGCTCCCCCTTTCTAAACCTCAACCTCCTTGTCTGTAAAGTGGGTGGAGGGCCCCTGCCCCCAGGCCTGCTGGTGGGTGGTATGTGCTCAGCTCCCAGCCAGGAGTCCTGATGGACCCAAGCTCCTCCTCCCCTGTAGTGTATCCACCGTGACCTGGCTGCCCGCAATGTGCTGGTGACCGAGGACAATGTGATGAAGATTGCTGACTTTGGGCTGGCCCGAGGTGTCCACCACATTGACTACTATAAGAAAACCAGCAATGTGAGGGAGATGGGCAGAACTGGATGGGGGTAGAGGAGGGCTGGGCCTGGGGCTGGCAGGCTTGGGAACATGTGGGACTCTGTACTGAGGCCCCTCTCCTCTCCAGGGCCGCCTGCCTGTCAAGTGGATGGCGCCCGAGGCCTTGTTTGACCGAGTGTACACACACCAGAGTGATGTGTGAGTTCTGCCAGTGGTGACTGTCCTACCCCACAAAAAGGGCAAGACGCTGCCCAGTCACATGGCCCCAGGAGTCAGGTGCTCAAGGGCTCCTTCAGATTTGGCCTGGGACCCAAGTGGGACCAGACTTAGGGGAGTCCATTCCTCACCGGCTGTGGTGGGTTGTACCTGTGGGGTTCCCCCATCCTAACCTTGATTGTAGGGAGGGCGCTGAGCCCCACTGAGCCCTGGCCCTGTCTCCAGGTGGTCTTTTGGGATCCTGCTGTGGGAGATCTTCACCCTCGGGGGCTCCCCATACCCTGGCATCCCGGTGGAGGAGCTGTTCTCGCTGCTGCGGGAGGGACATCGGATGGACCGGCCCCCACACTGCCCCCCGGAACTGTGAGGCCTCATCCTGCCCCTGTCCCCAACTTTCCAATCCTCCTCCTTCGCCCTGACCATGGCCTCAGGGTTTGCCCCAGCCAGAACAGCACTACTCCTCCTCCTCTTCCTCTTCCATCTCCTCCCCCTCCTCCATGTACTCCCTCCCTCCTCCTCCTCCTTCCCCTCTATCTCTTCCACCTCCTCCTCCTCCCCCTCCCCTCCTCCCCCCTCCTTCCCCCTCCTCCTTCCCCCCTCTTCCTCCTCCTCCTCCATCCACCCCTCCTCTTCCCCCTCCTCCTCCCCCTTCTCTTCCTTCTCCTCCTCTTTTTCCTTCTCCTCCTCTTCCTCCCCTTCCTCCCTTCCACCTTCTTTGCTACCTTCTTTCCTGCCCTTCTACCTTTCTTGTTTTAATGAAATTAATATATGGACCTTAGAAAACCAATGGTAAAAAAAGCCATTCTACTTTCCTGAGCCTTTTTGAAGGTTGATAGGAGGCGGCCTCTCGAGGCACAAGGCCGCAGTGAGACTGGCTGAGGATGGTGGGGGGCTGCCTCTCTGCTCCCCTGCACCACTTGGTGCTTGCCTGGACCTGGGCCTCAGTGCCACACACCCTCAGTTGCCGTGGGTGTTTGTAGAGGGCAGGGCTGCAGCTGTGTGCTGCTGGCCAGGTGGGCAGTCTCCCTGAGTGACTGTGACCCACAGGCATGCAGCCCTCGGGAGGGTAACTTAAGAACCCATCCTTTTCTGCACACTGTTCCTCTCTGTGATAGTATCTGCTGGTCCTGCAAGTGCAGCGTGGACTTCTGGATGATTCTACGTGGTCCCACAGTTTCCCTGATGCCCACAGAGGGGGTGGCAGGAGCGTTAGGCTGGGTCCTCATCCTCCACCCCCAACATCATGGGAGCACCTTCCTTACCGCGCTCTCCAAGAGAGGCTGATAAGTATCAGATCGGGAACAGATACCCAGGGTCCTGATGGGGGGCGTCCTGGAGGAGCAGCAGGTCCCCAGGGCTGGAGCCGGGTGTGCAGGACTGGCTATGCACACAAAGGCAAGGTGGCATCTGATGTCACAGGTCCTGCATACGACCTGACGTTCTGTGAGGTCAGGGACACATCCAGGGCTGGAGCGGGTGTGCAGGACTGGCTATGCACACAAAGGCAAGGTGGCATCTGATGTCACAGGTCCTGCATATGACCTGACGTTCTGTGAGGTCAGGGACACGTCCTTGGTCATGCTGTGGAAGGCCCCCGTGTACTCCGGCAGCAGCCCTGTTTCTGGGTATTTCGTGGACTTCAAGGAGGAGGATGCTGGAGAGTGGATGACTGTCAATCAGACAGCAACGGCCAACCGTTATTTAAAGGTGAGTCTTGGCCGGGTGTGGTGGCTCATGCCTATAATCCCAGCGCTTTGGGAGGCAGAGGCGGGCCAATCACTTGCGGTCAGGAGTTTGAAACCAGCCTGGCCAATATGGTGAAACCCCATCTCTACTAAAAATACAAAAAATAAAAATAAAAAAAATTGCCAGGCGTGGTGGCGCCTGTAATCCCAGCTATCCAGGAAGCTGATGCAGGAGAATTGCTTGAACCCGGGAGGCAGAGGTTGCAGTGAGCTGATATTGTGACACTGCACTCCAGCCTGGGTGACAGAGTGAGACTCTGTCTCAAAAACAAAACAGAAACCAAACAAAACAAAATAAACAAAAAAATAAAGGTAAGCTTCCGTCTTGGTGTTTCCCTTTGTGTGAAAGTGCTGTTGGTCTCTGCAAGCCAGCACAGAGCCCTGAGGTGGACCCGTTCAGATGACCACGGTGTGGCTGCTGAGGACGTAGGTGCCATGTACACCGTGGGTCCCAGCAGATAGTGGGACAGTGCCTTGAGAACGCTGTGCCCTCCTCCCATTTACACCGAGGTGCTGTTTGCTCCGGGGAACTGCACCTGAAGTGCCTGTTTTATTTTGTATTGCAGTCTAATAGCTGTTAACTGTTCATGGGCTATGTCTCGGTGCTTTCCACAGGCACGAGGCATACTGTACTGTGTCCTTCCCCTTCACGCCCTGCATTTAATTTACTTGATTCGTGTGATCGTTAAAGTCCATGTGATAAACATCACACACAGATATACACACAGTTTTCATACCTGGAGCAGAATTATAATGTGTCAGTTGCTCCAGCCTCTCTGTCTCCAAATGTTTCTGTCTTTAGCACTGTGGTTCCTCAGTGACTGGGTCAGTTGTAAGGACTGCTTTGAGCCCCAGGAGGCCAACATGCTCCAGCTGAGTTGCCAACTGCCTTAACCCAGAGGTTTTCTTCTCTGGGTGCTGGGCCCTGTGGTGGGGCAGGCCTGTGTCCTTCCCTGTAGCACATCCACATCTGGGTCCAGCACCCAAGCACAGGCCATGAGGGCCTTCCATGGGTGACACCCTCCCAAAACCCCTTGACAATAGGAAACAGCTAGTTTCTTTAAAATGAACAAATCGGCGTCTAAGAATCAGCTAGGTAAGTCAACTAGAAGCTTAGTAAATATATATTGATGTGTATCAAAGCAGGTTATAATAGGAATAACTCATGTATGTACAAGTAGAGATGGGATTCATTTTGATGTCCCAATGATGATTTTGCACAGTTCAATATCACACTTAGAACAGTAGTTCCGTAGAATTATGAACTAACTACTGTTATAACTGTGATATTGAATTGTGTAAAACACATAACATAGAATTATTATGTGTCTATGTGTGGATGGGTATATGGAAGTATAAACACCAGATTATAAACTAGAGATATTGATTTTACTTCTGCTTTATAATAAGAGGTAAAAAAAATGCAAGAGGTTCTATCAGATTGGTAGCACATGTGTTTATTTCTCCAAAGTGAAATTCTGCATGATGGTGAATCTCCTCTTCCCTGCTTGTCTAGCTCGCTAAGTATCGTTCTTTCAACTGGACAAATAAGCTATTTTTGAAAAGACCTATTCATAATAAAATGTGAAAAATTCCAAGGTCGTCTTTATTTTACCTTCACACATATGGTCTTTCCTCTGTCATTTCAAGGTCTGTGACCTGCAGCAAGGGAAGACCTATGTTTTCAGGGTCCGAGCAGTCAATGCAAATGGTGTGGGCAGGCCCTCAGACATGTCGGAGCCTGTGCTGGTAGAGGCCAGACCAGGTAAGGCTTTGCCATTAGCCATTCAAAATAGCAAAAATTGTGGAACCACAATGACTTGGGGGGAGAGTGTGCATGTATTATGTATGTATGTATGTATGTGTGGATAAATGAATGGGAGAGTGTACATGTATTATGTATGTATGTGTGGATGGATGTATGGATAAATGCATGTATTATGTGTTCATGTGTGGATGGGTGTACAGATAAATGAGTGGGAGAGTGTGCATGTATTGTGCATATGTGTGGATGGGAGAGTGTATATGTATTGTGTGTGCATGTGTGGATGGGTGTGTGGATAAATGAATGGGAGAGTTATATGTGCATGTATGGATGGGTATATGGATAACTGGGAGAGAATACATGTATTATATGTGCATGTATGGATGGGTATATGGATAAATAACTGGGAGAGCATACATGTATTATTTGTGCATGTATGAAGGGGTATGTGGATAATGGAGAGTTATAGGTGCATGTATGGATGGGTGTATGGATAAATGAAAGGATGTCTTGTCATATTTTTAAAAAGATTTGGATGGGTAAATGAAGTATGCACTTTAATCTCTGCCTATGCACTAATGACCCTGGCATAGAGGGAGAGCACATTGGGTCGTGAAGACATGGTTGACAGGGGTTGTTCTTGGAATGGTCAAGTCATATGCAGGAAGGATGGTATTTTTAAAATATTATTGCTGGATTTTTATTAGAAAATTTTAAAGCTGTTGGTAATTTTCTTGGTTCCAATGAATAAAACTTCCCTGGAGTCAGCCTTAAAAGGGCGAGTACTTCTGGAGGCAGGGCACACACCCACAGGATACCTGGTTTATTTATTCCGTGTTGCTGGATAATTTATTTTAAAAAGTTTATTTGGCTCATGATTCTGGAGGCAGGAAGTCTAAGAAGCACAGTGTCGGCATCTGCTGTGGTGGCTCCAGTGAGGGCCTCCCACTGCCCTACAACATGGCGGAGAAGTGGGCATGTGCGGAAATGGCCCCAGCACGGGAGGCAGCCTTGCTTTATAACAAGGCTCTCACTGGAATTAGCCATTCCAGTTCAACCAGCCAACCAACAGCCAGGGTTATTAGCAGGAATCTACCCAGTCTTTCCAGAAAGACATTAGTCTATCTTACCAACCTCATCACCTCTTTTAAAAATATTTTTATTCCTTTATTTTTTATAGAGACAGGGTTTCGCTCTGTTGCCCAGGCTGGTCTTGAACTCCTGAGCTCAAGTGATCCTCCAGCTTGGCCTCCCAAAGTGCTGGGATTACAGGCATGAGCCACTGCCCCCAGTCCCCAATCACCTCTTAAAGGCCCCGCCTCCCAACACCATTGCACTAACTATTACATTGCAATGTGAGTTTTGGGGGGATAGCCACAGGAGTGTGACCTGAATAGCTCAGTGGAGCCTCAGGAAGCAGTTGAGCCTCAGACTGTGAAGGTCCCAATGGCTCTCTGTGGTGGCCTCTCACTGCTTCATTTCACCCTGACACCTGGTTTTCCTTGCACCTCTGTCTTCTTGGTGACCTGAGAGCCCCTACACTTCATGGCCTCAGTCCCATTCACCAGCAGAGGCTGAGCTGTATCTTGTCCAGTTCCTAATTCCTAAGAGATGACTTCTACCTTGCACGTGATCTGATGTTCACCTGGGTCAAAACATAGCAAATAAACCACAAACAACCCCTGCTTCCAAACAAGACAAGACAAGGCCCCATGGAGAAGGCAGAGCCGTGTGAAGGGGAGCTCAGTGGTGGGCACACGGCTGCTGGGCTTCCCTGTGAGGGCCAGGGGCGGAGATTCCAGAGAGAACAGGATCCTCAGGGCCTGGAGAGGCAGCCCTGAAAGGTTTTCTGCAGTTGCATGGGACTCAGAGGTGGAAGTGGCAGAAATGTGATAAATTAAAAAAACTAGCAGCAACAAAACAACCAAGCCCCTGCAGGTACTCCCTAAAGTGTTTTCTCTCGTGATTCTCTGATCGGTCCTGGGTCATTAAAAACAACTGCTGGTGTGGTATAAGATGAGGTCTCTGCTTTGGCTACACCTCTGGATTAGTCTTTTCTCACGCTGCTATGAAGAAATACCTGAGACCGGGTAATTTCTAAAGAAAAGATGTCTAATTGACTCACAGTTCTGTATGGCTGGGGAGGCCTCGGGAAACTTAGTCATGGCAGAAGGCACCTCTTTACAGGGCGGTAGGATGGAGTGAGTGCCAGCAGGGGAAATCCCAGATGCTTATAAAACCATCAGATCAGGGAGACTCACTCACTATTACCAGAACAGGATGGGGGAGGCCATCCCCACGCCCCAATCACCTCACTCCCTCGACACTTGGGGATTGCAATCCGAGATGAGATTTGGATGGGGACACAGAGCCAAACCATGTCACCTTCGCCCAGAAAAGAGTTCAAAGGACCCCGTGTCCCTAAGCCGCTCACCTCATGTTCTTTGTATGTAGGCACGAAGGAAATCAGTGCCGGTGTCGATGAAGAAGGCAACATCTACCTGGCCTTCGACTGCCAGGAAATGACGGACGCCTCTCAGTTCACCTGGTGTAAATCCTATGAAGAGATTGCAGATGACAAGAGGTTTAAAATCGAAACCGTGGGGGATCAGTAAGTCTGGCCTGGAAGTTGGATATTGCAAACTTTTAGAAGCTCCTGCAAACAGAAGCAGCTGACATTCACCTACTCTTCTTCTCTTTTAGCTCCAAGCTGTACTTTAAGAATCTGGATAAGGAGGATTTAGGGACTTACTCGGTGTCTGTAAGTGATACAGATGGAGTGTCCTCCAGTTTTGTTCTGGACCCAGAAGGTAATATCTGTACGGCAGAACCTTGCCTGTTTTGGTTTTATCACACTTTGAAAGATTGACACCAGCATAGAAAAAACTTACTTGCTTAGAAAAAAGAAGTATGTTTGCAGGAGGCTGGCTGTGGGGGATATGTATATAAGCTTACTTTGGAAATTAAACAAACTCTAAAGTTTATGTGGTTTCCATCAAATAGTCTCTGATCCAGACACATTGCTTGTATAGCCTTCAACCTGTACTTTTAAAGTTGAGTCCTAGCCACATTTTAATAGTTTGGTATGCAGAGGGTAACATATTAGCAAAGAAATCCATAAAATTACCGAGAAGCCTACAGATGGAAGAGTCTTCCCTCCCTTCCAACACTGAGAAAACTGGATAAACAAAGAAAAAAAATTTTTATGCATGTAATCGAGGGGAAAAACAATAGTTTTCTTAGGTAGGTTCACAGATCTGAGTTCATCAGGCACACAGGCTCAGGCAGGCAGGGCTGAGTTTTTTTAACTGCCTGGTATCATATGTGTTTATGTGGCCGCTCATCTACCTCACCCACAGGACAGAGTCAGCCTTAGACATTTTCAAACAAAGAGGCAGTGATGCAGCATGAAGTTGCAGGACTGGATGGTATCCTCAGATCTCTTTGGATCTTTAAGGCATTTGAGTTCCCAAAAGTTTTATATGAAAATGCTCTCTAGGGGTGGCATAAATGATCTCCAGGGATGCCCTAAGATTTACAAGCAGATCCTTTAGTTATCAGTCAATGTCCAGGTAGACAGGATGCAGAGGGTGTGACCTGAGAACATCTGACCCGGGACGAGTGCTGAGGGCTGGGCAGGTACCCACGGGGGCAGGAGGGGACAGCCAGAATCATACCCTCAGCTTCTCCAGTGTGTAGATCTGGCTCAATGTTGGTTAAATTCTGGAAAACTCTTGCACATTTAACAAGACACAGCTGGACCAATGAGGAGGCCCACACTGTCTCATTTTTCTTGGGTCCTCAGTTTGCCTCTCACAGGCAGGGCAGGAAGGACCCGAAATCTACATGCATGTTTTAAAGCAACCTCTGCTGGCCCTGCCTCCATGGTCTTGACACAGTTTTGTACCTTCAAGGCATCCTGAAGGAATTCTGAAAAGCTACGCGTTCCTCCACACCATTTCAAAGTTTCCAACTTAATTTTAAATGTTTTAAATATTTGCGAAAGATAAAATTTTTGCCTTCTCTTATATTATGTATAGACTTCGGATATATTTGAGGCAAAACTTTGAAGTTGAAGGTTTAGCTCATTCCATTTATGGAAATTCCTACTGGAAGATTTAATTGGGAAAGCCAGTGCTCCCTGTCAAACCAGTTGCCAATGTGAATTTACTTTTGGCCAGAAAAATCTGACTTCATTTTGAGTAGACATATTCACGAAAAGCTCAGAGACCAGCATCTCACTTCCGATTCTAATTTTAAGGAGGAAGGAAGGAGAAAACTGAACTGCTTGAGCGCCTCCGATTTTCTTGCTTTGCTCCTGGGACTTCGTTAGGAAAGCAAAATGCAATGTGTTTCATTTGATTTTTTTGTTTTCTTTCTTCCTTTTTTAAAATTCATGGTAATACACTTTCGTGATGGCTTTAGTGGTATGTATATTTTTCTTTAATGAGACTGAAGAAGGAAATCTTGAAGGAGAAGGAACATCACAGGCCACAGGCACATTCTCAGCCAGTTCGATCAGTTCTAGAAAAGAGCTCACGTGAAGTGCAAGGATCTGGAAAAGGGTCCCTTTAAGCTTTCACCTTCCGAGCCTTCCTTTACTCCCGATATTCCAGCCCCCGCCCCCAGTGCCTCAGTCCCCACGACGGTGCCCTGCCTCGCCCTCAGCTGCCCCTGTACTAGGTGGACCAGGTGGGTTCTTTAAATGGTGAAGGTTAAAACCATCCTCTATGTCCCTTAGACCCGTCGTTAAAATTCCTTTCGTGTCCTCCAGTTAAATCCTGGGGGTGTCCAATCCTTGCTGTGTGTAGCCTTGCTGTTGTCCGCAGACTTCTGAATGTGCAGGTCCAAATCAATGGAAATACTTTTTCTTTGTTTTAGAGCTGGAACGTTTGATGGCATTGAGCAGTGAAATAAAGAACCCCAGTAAGTAAGCCTCCAGCCCCACACCTCTGCCTGTAGCCGCTGGCTGGCGGGCCATGTTCATTAATGCATGAGCTTTTGGAGGAACAGCTTTGGGGAAAGGATGGCCTCATTTCCTGATCCTGGCTTACAGGATTGAAATCTATTGATTTAAAACAAATACTAGTTTATGTTATAGCTTGTTGAAACTTGCATTGCATACAGAGTGATTTGAATTTTGGGTTTAGTATAGCTGTTCCTAATCCAAGTGAAACCCAAGATTTCATTTCCATCAAATGAAATCTTCTGTTATTGAATTGCGTTAAATATAGAACAAATCCAGGCATCTCTACTCACTGAACACATCCGGAAAACTAACCTCACGTGGCATGAGGCTTTAGAGGCAACAACAGGCTAACTCAAGGTTTGTTTTTTATTTTTGGTTTCCATAATCTAATACTCCAGGGTTTCACATTCTCAAAAAATTTAATAACTAGGATTGATGTTTTCCTCCAATATGCAGCTATTCTTCCTCACAAGGATTTATGCATTATTGACTTGCGATTTCTTTTCTTCCTGTAGCAATTCCACTGAAATCAGAATTAGCTTATGAGATTTTTGATAAGGGGCAAGTTCGCTTCTGGCTGCAGGCTGAGCACTTATCCCCAGACGCCAACTACCGATTTATTATTAACGACAGAGAAGTGTCTGACAGCGAGGTGAGTTCCTGTGCGAGTGATCTCTGGCTTTGCAGGGAGCCCTGCTCTGTGGCGGTGGGTCAGTTACGGAATGTCAACATTCTCTGTTTCCATCCCTTTTTGAGCCTTAAAGATTGGGGTGTGGACGGTTGACAAGATGAATGGGGATGGTTGATTCTACAATGTTCAGAGGTTTGATCTGGGTTAGAGGAGACAACAGGAGTCTTTTAAATCCTTGCCCGCTGGAATTAAAAATGATTTTGAGCTCGTTTTGTGAAAAGGTTCAGGTCACGTGGGGAAAGGAATAGTCTTGATGAGTCAGTTCACTTATTCTTGATAATGGTTTTGAAGGTGTCTGTTGTGAGAGAGGCCTCCCTGCATTCTCCCCCCACCGACAGCTTCCCATGGAAAGCATCTCTGGGGAGTAAGTTTCTGCGGCTTCCCTACCTGTTTGGGCAGCAATCTTGGTGTGGTAGACTGACCTGACTGTGTGGCTGTCAAGAGCAATGTTGTGGCCAGGCACGTCGCCTCTCACCTCAAATCTCAGCAGTTGCAGAGGCCAAAGTGGGAGGATTGCTTGAGCCCAGGAGTTCAAGACCAGCTTGGGCCACATAATGAGATCCCATCTCTTCAAAAAATTTAAAAATTAGTTGGGTACAGTCATGCTCTCTTGTAGTCCCAGCTACTTAGGAGGCTGGTGTGGGAGGATCACTTGAGCCTGGGAGGTCCGAGCTGCAATGAGCTGTGATTGAACCACTGCACTCTAGCCTGGGTGACAGCAATGCGCTGTCTCAAAAAAAAAAAAAAAAGACACATGTTCTGCCACACTCCAGACACTGCCTGTGTTCTGCCTTTGATCATATAAAATGAGTCTTAACAATGATGACAGGTGCTCCTTACTTGTCTGGAGAATATTTGAGAAGCCATTGGTTGTGTTAAGTTTCCTCTTTTCTAATCACAGCATGCCTGGGACTCAATTAAAGGATGGCCCTAGTTAATGGGGACTTTATTGTTCATTGGTGGCCTGGGGTTCTCTCAAAGCCCCCAGCTTCACCGCTTCTGCCCTTTTTCCTTTAATGCTCAGTGTATAGTGAGGTTGGCAACCTTAGCTGCGTACTAAGTCCTCAGTGTTGATTGGTTTGTTCATTACACACGTGTTAGGGGAACCGTGGGATGCAGGAGCCTCTCCTGTTCCCAGGCAGCCCACACGCTGTAATATGTCTAAGCTGGACCCCTCATTGCCATCCAGCCTTTGTGTCTGCTGCGCATTTAGTAGTGCTCAGTTAGACGAACGTTGATCAGCAGAAGTCTTGTGTGCACAAGGATCATCGAATTTTCTTCTCCAGGCCATCTTTCCCGTGAGAATCACGCACACTGTAAGATTCATTCCTACATGGTAGAGTTGGCTACAAAGTAGGAAACATCTAGCTGCTTTTGGGTTGCAGAAAAGCCAGTGGTATAACTATTGCCTTTGGGAGACTTAAAATCTGATCCAGGTAATTGGAGAAATCTTCTCTGAGCAGAGACCATGCTGTGAAATGGAATGGAGTTTAGGGGAATTGCGCTTTATTTGCAGGATGTCTTTTGATGCACATTTCCTCCACGCTTGCTTTAAGGATGAGCGCCCTGGCTCCACGGCTAATCTTTTGGACTATGGCTGTACTATTTCACTTCTTTAATTAGCAGTCCACAGGTGACTTTTACATTTGAAGATTGATGCTATTTTGTGGAAGTCACATAAAAGCTTGTATTTATGGCACTCGTAAAATCATTGAATTTCATCTCGCCGCATAATGGCATTAGCAAGAAGCCTAATTATTTTCTAAAACCTGCCCAGACACCTCAGCGCAGCTTCTGAGAAAATGGAAAAGGCTACTATATTACTAAGAATCTAGTTGGTGAGAATTATACCTTTTTCTTTGTCAGAGCTAGTTAGGGTAAATTTCTGTCATTCATTCTCTACTCATACATGTTTGAAGGGGGGATAATGTCATACAAATACGGGCAGGGCATTTGTCTGATCAACCTAAAGTTTACTCTTGATATTCGAAAGTAAATACTGCACACTGTAAAGAAACCCGAGGTCCATGGAAGGGTGTATCCACTGGAATCTCAGGTCCCTCTCATGCTCATGGCACTTCTAAGAGCGACCTCAGTCTTCAGGGATGGGGACAAAGTTGTGCTTCCTGCAATTGAGCCTGCCCGCCCTGCCTCCCTCCTTCCCCCTCCCTCCCTCCCTCCCTTCCTTCCTTCCTGTCTTTCTCTCTCTCTCTCTCTCCCTGCCGCCCTCTCTCTTTCTTTCTCTCTCTCTCTTTTCTTTTCTTTTTTTCTTGTCTCACTCTGTCACCCAGGCTGGAGTGCAGTGGCACCATCTTGGCTCACTGTAACCTCCACCTCCTGGGGTCAAGTGATTCTCCTGAATAGCTGGAATTACAGGTGCCCGCCACCATGCCCAGCTAATTTTTGTATTTTTAGTAGAGACAGAGTTTTACTGTGTTGGCCAGGCTGGTCTCAAACTCCTGACTTCAGGTAACCCACCCACCTTGGCCTCCCAAAGTGCTGGGATTACAGGCATAAGCCACTGCACCCAGCCTAAGCCATTTCTTAAGATAATCTTCCTCCCTCAAAAACAGTCTGAGGTCATACCTTCTCATTTATTTCTGTCTCTTTCTTTCGTTTTAGGTGTACCAATTTCCCATTTAGAAAAAGTCTCAGTGATCTTACACAAGTATATATTGTGTGATTTACATCTATGAAATAATATTGGAATTTCTAACTGTGAAGGTGATTTTTGTGTTTATGGGAAATCAAAACCTGGGGTAGGGGTGAGGCAGACTTTATTCACATAAACCCTGAAAGTCAGATTCAGCTAAACAAAAACTGCAGTGTCCTCAGGAGCCGGTGGGGGCTTGGGTGGTCCTCTTCCTTTCCCAGTGGACAGCAGTGCATGTCTGCACGTCACCTGTTGATTATCCGCTTGGCCAATGCACCTGCGGGGACCCAACAGTCAGGTGTGAAGCTGCCCTTATGGAGACTGTCATGGAGTCAAAGAAATACACCTTCAATTCAAGGAGGACAGAGAAGAAAGATAGAAACCAGGATATATTAAAACAGTGCAGTAAACACTAACAGAATTCAGAGCAGGCAGAGAGTTGAAGAGGCCGAAGTAGTCCAGGAACAATTTCAAAGGTAGAGGGTTATTGAAATGGGTGCCAAGGTGGTAGAAGTCAGGGGTGGGGATGGGAGGGAGAGAATGAGACGTTCCAAGCCCCTCAAGGGCACAGAGAGCCGGGAGTGACCAGGGAATAGCAACGCAGGGACGTGGAGGGTGGGCTCAGCGGAGGGGGCTGCTTGCCTGAGTGATCTTAGGAAATGTTGGGGAATAGGAATAGGGTCAGAAGACACAGGCTTGAATGTCAGGCAGAAGAGCTTAGAAACAAAGCTGAGGAAAATGAACACACAGAGAGACAAACGGAACCAAGTGGCTAATAATATTCACCTTCTGAAGCCTCTCCGGTGGCGCTGGAGGTGCAATCTCAAAACAGAAATGTAAACTCAGAAAGAAAGAAGAACGTTGTGAAAATGAAGGCACGTGGTTTATCAGAAAAAGATTGCTGATTTTCTGGCTAAACTCACGTTGTTACCTACAGATAGAAATTCTCCGTAGTATTGCTGCTGAGGCAAGGGTTCAAGAGGAGTGTGGTTCCAAGGGCTGACGGAGTCTCGTCACCCTGCCCCTGCCTTGTGTGCTCAGCAGCACAGATTATTGGTTTTTTGTTCTGTTCCTGTGGCTTCAAGAGCCTCCCTTGGTCATGGGTAAGATCATTATTCTGGTTGGAAAGCCTTTGCCCCAGTTCCAGCTAGGATCAATCTGAAAGGTAGACGACAATTTGCAGAAAATAATGACAGCAGCTGGAACTGCCATAGTGTTAACTCTGGGCACCAGGAAGCCAAGGCCGGGCATCCGTATGCCCGTGACTCTATGGTGGTGTGACCGGGGCGAGTCCCGCGTTGGATGTTGGATGCCCTCCACGCCATCCTGCCCTGCATTACTGCTGCATTTAGGACGAGTCACACATTGGGATGTGGTCCTTCCACCACCAAGACCCTGCTCAATGTCAGAGGCTGTATCATCCAGGTGATAGCAAAATGCAATCCACTAGCAGCCGTAAAACCTTTGAGTACCTGTTAGTGCATCTCAAACGCTGAGCCACCAGAGGTGTGGGGAAGGAGAGCTGGGAGCAGGTGATGGCCTTGGGAGGCCTCTACCCCAGATGCCGCCTGGGTCGGGGCCACTGTGCCTGGGGCGTGGCTGCAGCAGGGCAGAGAAGTCGAAAAGGGTGGTGGAGGGGGTTAGCTGTTGAGGAACGGAGGTGACAGGTGCAGCCAGGGATGGAGGAAGGACCGGCTGGGACAGGTTCACAGTGTTGGCTGACGGCTGATCTAGAAGGGAAGGTCTCAGTTGGTTAAGGAGGCTTTGCCTGATCTGCAGTGGGAAGGATGCTGTGGTCCTGACCACATCCACAGGGTCTCACCTAGAAGGATAATTATCTTCTCAAATTGCTCAGTGTCACTCAGTAGTGTCAGAGACCGCAGCCACCTCAACGCCATGGACTGCAGGGTGAGCTAAGCCCCCTCCAGCTGATTTTCTCTTCAGAACCTTGACAGACGTGTGTTTGGTGTTTCTTGCTGCCAGGCAGATGCAAAGGATGGTGTGAGGCTGAGGGATGAGTAGGCAGTGCCCACTCTCAGGGGCTCCTTGCCTAGTGAGACAGACAGAAGGCAGGAGGACAGGTGAGCCAGGGGGGTGCTCCCGAGGGAGGGTGTTCCCGAGGGGAGGCAGGGCTGTGGGGAACCCAGAAAACACCAGGCCTCACCCCAGGGCATCAGAGAAGTCTCCCTTAGAGCCAGTCACAGGGCTGCTTTCGGGTGAGGTGGCCACGGCAAGGGTGGGCAGAAGCTGCACTGTCGCAGAGGCCTGCAGAGCTCAGAACTGTCTGTGGGGCACGGCCCTCAGGGAACTCACGGTGCTGGCTTGCCAAGGCATGAGATGTTTCCCTGCACCCATCGCCAAAGCAGCAGAGAGGCAGGTATAGTCCAGGCTTCTGTGGACTGTTCCTGTGAGACAGTGTAACCTAGAAATCATGAAGCAATGCAATTCAATGTTCTTAGAGCAACCAAGAGCCTCCCAATCTTTCTCCCATGTTAGCAACAAGACAGCTGCATGGCAGGCAGGAAGGGGGAATTGTGTGGGCAAATGTATGCAGTTTGGTTGTATGCATTGCACATGACAAAATTCCTTTTCTTCCCCTTTCTTTTGAGACAGAGTCTCACTCTGGTGCCCAGGCTGAAGTGCAGGGACACGATCTCAGCTCTTGGCAACCTCTGCCTTCTGAGTTCAAGTGATTCTCATGCCTCAGCCTTTTGAGTCACTGGGTTTTTAGGCATGCACCCCCATGCCCAGCTAATTCTTGTATTTTTAATAAAGACTGGGTTTCACCATGTTGATCAGGCTGGTCTTGAACTCCCGACCTCAGGTGATGTGCCTGCCTTGGCCTCCCAAAGTGCTGGGATTACAGGCATAGCCACTGCACCCAGCCTGACAAAATTTCTTTTTTCTTTTTATTTTTTTGAGACAGGGTCTTGCTCTGTTGCCCAAGTGATCCTCCTGCCTCAGCCTCCTCTGTAGCTGGGACCACAGGGATGTGATAAATTTATATCCTGCTACACAGGAAAACTTGTTTTCATGATTACAAAGAAGAGATGGTATAATATATTAAGAACATATATTGGTAAAGACCAGTGCCATATGAAATTGGTTTGAAACACCTCTAAAAATTACATAGGCTGATTGATGTTTTAAAAGGTTGCATTAGAATTAGAGTTATTTAAGTGAAAAAGTGAAATGTAAGCACTAATATTAATTTATAATAATTTTAATAATTATCAAGAAGAACAAAAAGGTAAAAACATCAAGCCCCCAAATAAGGAAACTAACAAAAAAAACATAAAAAAGAGAAATAAGCATTAATAAAGGCAGGGGAAAATGGTTTCAGTGACGTTAAAAAGTTAATAAATAAACATCACAAAATCAGAGGGAAACAAAAGATCAAATTTGCTCAGTTCATCTGTGTGTTAGAGAAACACTTGCTCTTCTGCTTGTAGGATTACCTAAATAAAATGTATTCATATGTATCTGTGCATGTACTGTAGAAGAAAAAGAAACTTTTAAAAAATAAAGGTAAGAAACCAAAAGTGATCAAAAAAGTCAACACCTGTTGGAGGTCCATTTATCCTTTCCTCACTTGAAACCCCTGCACCCCAGTGGACTGCAGCAGGCTGGGGCTTGTGGGTGCTGGGTCCCAGGAGCTGAAGATGACAGAGCTATGGAGATTGCCTGTTGTTGCTATCATGTGGGATTTTGTCATCAGCTGGCGATTGTTATAATGCACATCATTTGCATATCGTTTTATTTTCTCCTGTGAATTTTATCTGCTTCACATTAGGAGCTTGTTCTTGGGTAGGTGTGGAGTCTCTGCCTAGAAGGTACACGGTTTGCACTCTCAGATCACCTCACATAGCGAGGCTTTGTCACAGAGTGACAGCTAGTACCCGCTGTTTGATCCTTGTTCACCCAGAGGTTTCCTTGATAAAATTTCGTTTTCACTTCTTCCTGTCACAGTCCCTTACGATCTCATGGCTGATGCAATTCTTAAATGCGTTGAGGGAAAAGTAGGAGAGATTTCCTTGTATAATTCCCTATTTTCCTTGTTGCCTGCAGGCACACAGAATTAAATGTGACAAAGCTACTGGCATTATTGAGATGGTGATGGATCGATTTACTATTGACAATGAGGGGACCTACACTGTGCAGATTCATGACGGAAAAGCCAAAAGTCAGTCTTCTCTAGTTCTTATTGGAGATGGTATGCTCTATCAAATATTTCCATATGTCCTAAAAGATAATTCAAAAGAAATTCTTTCTACTGGAGAGAAGCCAACATGTTTCATATATATATTTTTAAAATATTGAATTTAGCATTCAGGACTGTGCTGGAAGAGGCTGAATTTCAAAGGAAAGAATTTCTCAGGAAACAAGGTGAGTCACTGAATGGCTCTCTCGCCCCCAACATAAAGCAAAGACTTATGATTGGAGTATTTGTCAGAAGCAGATTCTATATGACACCAAGTGACCCTGGAGGCTGTTTTAAGTGATTAAGAGGTTAGGCCAGGACAGTCATGGTGGCTCATGCTTGTAATCTCAGTACTTTGGGAGGCTGAGGTGGGAGGATCACCAGAGCCTGGGAGTTCAAAACCAACCTGAGCAACACAGGGAGACACTGTCTCTAAAAAAAAAAAAAAATTCTGAAGAAGCTGGGCATGTTGGTGCATGCCTGTAATACTAGCTTGAGCCTGAGGTTGAGGTTGAGGCTGCAGTGAGCTACGATCATGCCACTGCAGCCTGGGCAACAGGTGAGAAACCCTGTCTAAAAAAGAAAAAATTCTTAGCTCTAGAAATGTGTATACTTTTCTGTTCCTTGTCCTTTACATGTGTTTTGCCTGCATTTAAAAGAAATTGCTTCTACCTTTAAAAGCCTCAGACTCATCTGTTTAATGTTAACGTTTCCTGTAATTGTCTTAAGTCAAAGAAACAATCAGTCTAACCAGCCTCTGTGGCTGACTTGCTGACTAACTCATCTCTTCTATATGCTGCTGGGAGGTGGCTCCTCTAAAAGACTTACTTCTTTTAGGCACCCCTTTGCATAAAACGCTTCAGTAAAACTCCATGAAGTGTACCAGATAAACTCAGGCTTTCCATAGCCTGCACCCACCACTTAACCAGATTTTATTTCCTATCATGAGGACAACTTCCTGGATAGGCCGGACTGATGTCTTCACCTTCCCGCTTTCCCAGCACCCAGGCCTGTCTGGTCTAGTCTCTCCTGAGGTCTTTCCAATCCGATGTCCAAAGTGGGTCTTCCCATCACCCCATAGCCTTCCGTGCCGCAGGGGCCCCTGATGTTCCTTTTGGGGCCTCCCTCTGAACCTTCGTGAGGGGCTGGTTGTTACCCTGCACTCAGGTGGACAGGCAGCTCTTCTGTTTGTTGCATTCCTAACACTTGCACGGCTGAGCACCTCGTAGGCGTGTGGGGCTTACCAAGGGCATGGGAAGGGAATGCGCTTTATAGCCGGGGAGTTGTGAGGAAAGCGTGCCTCTAGCTTTAATGTCCAGATGGAGTCCAGCGATTTTAATGAAAAAGAATAAAGAACTGGGGTGAAGGAGTCGGGGGCATCACTGGGCTTTGAAATGTAGAGAAGGCAGTAGAGGCCGTTCCTATCACCAGGAACTTGGTCATTCCACTTAAGATTGTGTGTGAGATTTTAAACTTTCTAACTACAAAGAATATATTTTAAATAGATTGCCTTTACAAATACATATTAACTAGATACAAAGGAAAATGGATGAATTTTGGATTCTCAAACATAACCCAAGCGCTTATTCAAAGAATATTTTTATATATAGGATTTCTATGCTTCTTGAGAAAAATTAGAATATAAAGTATGAAACATAAAATCAAAACATTCTTTTTTATTACTTTTCATTGTTTTTATTTCTAACAGTTAAAAATATTTCACTTGTTTCCAATTATGAACTTTTTTGGTCAACTTTGTAGGATGTATTTGTGTATATGAAAGAAATCAACATACCTTCCAAATCTGCTTTCTGTTTTTGCATTGAATGGCAAAAGGGTATTAGTGTATGACTTATTCCTACATGTACTTTAAATAAAAATGATTAATATGTTTAAAAAACCTTTATAAACCCATCTTTGGTTTTGAATGCTATTAAGTGTATTTTACAAAATTGCTAGGTCGAAATGTTGTTTCTTCATCTCATGTCTGTTCCTCTTATTACAAGGTATTATATAGCATGTTGCTGAATGTTCAGTTAGACATATACTTTCGGAAACAAAATATAATGATTTCAATAGTCTCCTTTCTAAAGTGCAATAGAGGTGAGATGTCCGTAAGAAGGAGCGATGAGACGGTATGTTCCCACCAGGAAGCACAGATTCCAGTGGAGGGTCAGTGTTAACACGTGTCCACATCCCAGGCCTGAAAATTATCTGTTTCATTCTGCACAGCTGTTGCCTTCCACCAAAAATGCATTACATAAGTATATGTAACACATGCTTGTGTATTATGTATGCACCCCATGCATATATGTGTGTGTGTATGTAACAGCTGTATATTTATTTGTTTATTTTACTTCTTCCTTTTTTAAAAGTTGTTTTCCCTTTTTTTCTCCTTAGGCCCTCATTTTGCTGAGCACTTGCACTGGGACGTCACAGAAGAATGTGAAGTTCGACTTGTTTGCAAGGTGAGAAGCCCTGTTCTAACAGGACGCAATAAATCTCGGTCTGCTTCCTATCAGAGAGGCCTTTCAGGGAGCAGCTGTGGCCACATCCATGATGCTGGTGACGAAGCATGTGGTGTCTGCATACATGTGGATGAGCGGAGCGGCTTTTGGGTCCTGTGCATTTTTTAGTACTTAAACTTTAGTGCTTGTCTTTTCTTCTTCATGAAAAGATTACAGTGTCGTGGCATGCAATGAAGGGTTGGATTATAGAAATTACACTTAAACTATTATTAAGTGAGTTTATGAGAAAGCACACTGTGGTGAAATCTACCTGGAAGTGCTGCTCATATGATTTCATCAGGAAAGAAAGGTATGCTTTGGAGACAAGATGCTTTTTTCAGTTTCATTTAACAATTTAGTAAAACATTTTATTATTACTAAATATAAAAATCTCTTTTTTCTTTTTTTTTGAGATGGAGTCTTGCTCTGTCACCCAGGCTGGAGTGCGATGGTATGATCTTGGCCCACTGCAACCTCCTCCTCCTGAGGTCCAGTGATTCTCCTGCCTCAGCCTCATGAGTAGCTGGGATTACAGGCCCCTAACACCAAGCCCAGCTAGTTTTTGTATTTTTAGTAGAGAGAGGGTTTCACCATGTTGGTCAAGCTGGTCTCGAACTCCTGACTTTGTGATCCACCTGCCTCGGCCTCCTAAAGTGCTGGGATTACAACAGGCATGAGCCACTGTGCCAGGCCTAAAAATCTGTTTTTTAAGCAACAAACCTTCAATTTAATAACTGTCTGGTATTTGACTGTCTCAGTAGGAGAGGATGAAGGAAAAGATCAATAATGCATTATTTTTATCCCTAAACTCGTTCTTTATTGTCCACTGGATAAGAGAGAAAAGTAAACAGGTAATTCCAATAAAGAGATGATTCCTGAGGTGCCAGTGCCAAGGGAACTAAGAATTAAGCAGGCCAGTGAGTGGGAGGAGATGGCTCCAGGAAGATCCCGCAGCAGGGAGGGACAGAGAAGCTGAACTGTGCACTTAGAAATAAAAACAATAGGCCGGGCTCAGTGGCTCACGCCTGTAATCCCAGCACTTTGGGAGGCCAGGGTGCATCATGAGGTCAGCAGACCGAGAGCAGCCTGGCCAACATCGTGAAACCCCGTCTCTACTAAAATACAAAAAATTTAGCTGGGTGTGGTGGTGGGTGCCTGCAGTCCCAGCTACTTGGGAGGCTGAGGCAGGGGAAATGTTTGAACCAGGAGGCGGGGGTTGCAGTGAACCGAGATCACGCCACTGCACTCTGGCCTGGCGACAGAGCAAGAAAGACAAACAAAAATAAAACCCCAAGGCGGGTGGGCAGGTGGGGGGTTCTCTCACAGGGCTCAGAGGCAAACTGTGGTCTTCGAGGGCACAGAGGCCCTGAGGGCTGTTAGTGCAGTGAGGAGGGCTGCTTGTTGACAAGGAAGGCGGGAGCTTGCAGCGCTGGAGGAGGATGCTTCGGCAGGCTGCTGAGAGGTGGTCACTCCAGCGGGGCAGTTTCATTTGCACAGAGAGAAGATTTAGGAGACACATTCAGCAGTTAAAACTAGCAGAGGTTGGCAAGCAGCTGGGTGTGGGTGAGAGGACAGTTTACTGGGGGACTGGGTGGGTGGGTGATATTACCTGAGATCAGCACTGTACTGGGAGGGCCAAGTGTTAGGGTTTTGGGAATAAATTTAGTTTCACAAAGATTTAGTTATATCCGCGGAACGGGCGATAAGGCGTGACCAGCTCACAATGGGCTACGTGAGCCCAGCAGCAGTGGGAAAGTCAGCAGGACCAAGTGGGTTCCTGTGACACGGGAATGCGTGACTGTGGACATGACGCAAGTGGGTCGTGCTGCCGAAGGACAGTCTTCAGAGACAGGACCGTGACGGGTGACGGGGGCGTTCTGGAAAATTCAGATTGTCAGAGGACAAGAGGAGAGCAGCTCTGGGTTGATTAAGCAGAAACCATCAGAGAGTTCAGAGGGAAAGCAGGTGACTCACTGGCCACTGGGAGGGAGGGCCTTCCGGAGTGAAGCCCTGGAGGGTGTGGTGAGGAGGGGCGGCTGGAGGCAGCACGGGCCACGGTCTGGGTGGTGGGCTTTCCAACGCCGCTCCGTGGCAAGGCAGGGTCTCTATGTGGTGGGCTGAGGAGTTGGGAGACAAGGAGCATGTGAGCAGGAGCCTGCCCCACTCCGAGGCGCTCAGCTGGCAATGAGGAGGGCAGAGGGCTTCGTGGCCGGCTTCTCTCTCCTCCTTTCTGGATGGGGACACTCAATCCTATTTACCGGTGAAGGGGTCAATGGAAGAGGAGTCACAGGAGAAGGAAGGGGAAGGCATGGGGACGCGGGAGGGGCAGTGCCGGGCTGGAGGGAGATGAGCCCAGGAGGTCAGCGCCACAGTGCAAGGGGCTGCTGGGCCCCCAGGGCGGCTCCGCATGAAGGACCACGGGGATGTTGAAAACCAGGACAGAGCAAGCGGCAGATCCGGCAGTGCAGCCTATTGGTTTCACTTTTGCAGTGAAGGGTTGGAGGTGTTGAAGATGAGGAAGGTGGCCCACGGGGAGGAGGGTGGCAGGAGTGGGCTGTGATTGCCACTGAAGGAGGCACGACAGGAGCTCCTTACTGAGTAAGAATGGAAATCATTGTTGAGGGCACCAACATGGAGACAGCTTGTAGTGGCCCAAACAGGTGCACTGGGGTTGATTTTTCCAGATGTGCCCAGCAACCCTGGTGTAAGTCGGGGGACGGACTCGTGATTGGGGTCTTGCTGGCTGGATGTTGCAAGAAGGGACAATGGAATAGGAGCTCTGGGTCTTGCTTAACTGTAGCTTTGTTGGTCAACCAGCTGTCTAAGTTGAGCAGGAAAGTGAGGCCAGACGGGATAAATGGAGAGGAGGAAGGGCTAAGCGTTGGTGATCACCACTGGACCACCTCGGTGGGGACACTGGGGTGCGGACTTGTTAATGTGGGTTAGTGTCAGGTGGTGACCTGCCGTGAGGAGGAAGTGCGTGCTGGCAGCATGGAGGTCTGCAGCACGCTTGGGAGTGGACCCGGGGATTTGCAGGAGGGCGGGGCATAGGGGTTTGGAACTAGGTGGGTGTTGAACCAGGTTGCTCCTAGAAATTCATGTGATGCGAATGTTCATTGCAGCACAGTTTACAATAGCAAAGACCTGGAACCAACCCAAATGCCCATCGATGATAGATTGGACAGGGAAAATGTGGCACATATACACCATGGAATATTACGCAGCTATCAAAAATGATGAGTTTGTGTCCTTTGTAGGGACATGGATGAAACTGGAAACCATCATTCTCAGCAGACTGACACAGGAGCAGAAAATCAAACACTGCATTTTCTCACTCATAGGCGCGTGTTGAACAATGAGAACACTTGGACACAGGGAGGGGAGCACTACACACTGGGGTCTATTGGGGGGAAAGAGGGGAGGGACAGCAGGGGGTAGGGAGTTGGGGGGGATAGCATGGGGAGAAATGCCAGATATAGGTGAAGGGGAGGAAGGCAGCAAATCACACTGCCATGTGTGTACCTATGCAACAATCTTGCATGTTCTTCACATGTACTCTAAAACCTAAAATGCAATTAAAAAAAAAGAAAAAAAAAAAGAAATTCATGTGATGAAAGTACCTGTCTTCCTATTCTGACCACTCTCAGTATTGGTAATTAATTTGCAATTTGATTTCCTGTGTATATATTTTTTAGTGATAACTAGAGCTAAGGCTTTGATATCAAACATGCTCAGAGCTGTGATACGTTTATTATAGAAAAATACTTAGATTTATTTTCGGTAGTGAATTTCTTGCACTAGTATATTTAAAAGGAAGATTCAGAAATGAAAACATTTATAAAAGAAGAGAAGGTTACTTGCAAGGAAGCTGCAAGTACGATGGTCTTTAGCAGTCTTGCTCAACAAATGAAAAGAATAATGAATATTTAAAGGGAAGAAACTCGCCAGGTGACTGAGGACAGGCTGTGCGTGTGAGTCCATTTATGCTGGAAAAATAACTTTCTCAAATGATTTGCCCTACGCAGAAAGGTATGTTTCTTCAAAATTTTAGACATCAGCATTGCAAATATCAGTTCATTAGGGAATCATCAAGTCAAAGCCCAGAACAAGTCAGGGTGACTTAGTTGTGGTCGGTTTCTTTTTTTTTTGGTTTGTTCTGACTGCGCCATAAAAGGTGCGCTGTGCACTGCCCAGGGCAGTGGTGAGAACCGCGAGTTCTGCTTTCGGTAGGCTCTGATATCATCTTAGTGGATAGAACTGTCTATAAATATTTAAAAGTATTTTAGGTTCCCTGACTAAAGTGATTCATAAATCTTTAAACACAGACATTGGGAAAACTAGTATTACTTGAAATTTGAGAATTTTTTGGTGCAATTTAATACATTTGATTTACATATTTGTGTCCCTGTCAAGCCTGTGATTCTGGGTGCCATTTTGTCTACAGTTTTTCATTTAATAATGTGGTGCAGATAGTTATTTTAAAAATTATTTACATGAAAAAATACATGTAGAAAAATGTATGCAAGGAAACCTTCACATTGTAACTTCAGAGCAAACCATTTTTAAAAGTTTAAGACGCAGAGAAACTTCATTCATAAACAGAAGAAGATCTGTTAAACGTTTCTTACACAGTAGATGTGGCGAGTTAGGGCTGACTCTTAGGAAGTGTGAGTCAGGCTTGGGCCATATGAAGCCTAAGAGGTGATGTCATTTCTTTCCTAGACCTTCATGTACAGTTTAGGCACCCATATTTTACAGAGTTTATGGTAGAGAGAAGTTGAGGGAGTGCAGAGAAGAAACAAATGAGTTATTTTGGGAAATTAGAACCACCTCCCCCACTTATAGGACAAATACCTTAATTACAGGTACTTATTTTAGAAAACAGAAATTGAAGGTCATTGGAAAGGCATTTATTGGAAAAGACCAGCAATGTAAAATTGGAAAGGACCAGCAATGTAAAATTTCTTTGAAGAAAAGAGGAAGGGAAAACAGTATTGATTTAAGAGACAGTAAGCAGGCTGGGTGCAGTGCCTCATGCCTGTAATCTCAGCACTTTGGGGGGCCAAGGTGGGCGGATCACGAGGTTAGGAGTTCAAGACCAGCCTGGCCAACATGCTGAAACCCCGTCTCTACTAAAAGTACAACACTTAGCTGGGTGTGGTGACGCATGCCTGTAGAGCCAGCTACTCGGGAGGCTTAGGCAAGGAGGATTGCTTGAACTGGGACCCGGGAAGTGGAGGTTGCACTGAGCTGAGATGGCACCACTGCACTCCAGTCTAGGCTACAGAGTGAGACTCCATTGAAAAAAGAGCGAGAGAGAGGAGAGAGAGAGAGAGAGAGAGACAGGAAGCAATTAGATTGATATTGAAAATATACACCAAAGAATATTTTGAATTAAAGGGAATCGTCTGCTAGAGCTGTGGAACCTCAGCCTCAGTCCATTCTAAGATTTGTTATTAAGGAGTGGCTCTGACTTTAGGAGGAAGACCTTACCTTGCAGCTCAGCGGGATGCCTTCCGTCCAAGTATTCCGCAAACATTGATGGGATAACCCCTGTGTGCCAGGCAGGCAGCCATGCACTTAGGGACAAGCGTTAGCGAAACAGATGAAACCCCTGACTCACGGAGACCAAATTACATGCAGTCAAGAATGATGCCATTTCCCATAGCGATGCGGAAATTCTAAGCCGCGTTGCACCGTTACCCTGGCAGAACTTAGCACACTGTTGAATCCTTTGCTCTTTTTTATCTTCAACATCACTCTTCCTGAATCCACATGGGATGTGAACCTGGAATTGTCAGACTCCTCTAATCTGATGGGAGTCATACATCTGGCACACCGAATCAGAATTCTTCCTTGTCCTGCCGGCAGAGCATGTGAATTGGAATACTCACTTATCTTTGGAGTTCTGCAAAGCTTAGTTTCTAGCCAGTGACTGAATTGTGAGGAATTCCAGTAAAGGGAAAGTCCTCGTTTCTAGTGGGTGTTCTGTGTTAAGGTTTCATTTTCTTTGTTCCTGAAATGTTATGCTGCAAAAAAAGCAGCTACTAGGCAACTTTATAGACCTCTCAGAATATTCCGTATTATTTAGAAATCCCCAAATATATTTCTTAAGACTTTATTAATGACATTTCATATAGACCAAAAGATCTTTATGCCATCTAATTTCATGGACTAGAATGATGAGAATCATTTGTTCTTCTGTGAGCCACTGTGAGGACTTAATTGTTTTAGAGGCTGGCATTTAGAAACGTGTTTGACATTATTAGGAGTGACTGCTTTTCCATAAGCCTTTGTCTGAGACTGTATATAGTAAAAATTAATGTTTTTTTGGGGGGGTCTCTGTGATTTAAAATTCTAATAAACTTTCTTTTCCTCATGAGTCAGAATGATTTACATACTAAACTTAAGATTTCTATCTCATAGGTTGCAAACACCAAGAAAGAAACAATTTTTAAATGGCTCAAGGATGACGTTCTGTGTGAAACTGAAAAAATGCCTGACCTGGAGAGGGGAATTTGTGAGCTGCTCATCCCAAAGGTATGAGGCATTGAGTAAAACAGGACAAAGGCTAAACAAAAATGGCATTTTCAAATAACTTGTAAATTCTGCATTCCTCTAATTTGCACCCTGAATTTCAGTGGTTTGAAAAGAAAATATATTAGAGTTTATTACATTTTCTACTGTGGTATTAATTTGACATAAATATGGAATGTGTTTTCTTTGTAGTTGTCAAAGAAGGACCATGGTGAATACAAGGCAACCTTGAAAGACGAGAGAGGCCAAGATGCATCCATCCTTGAAATAGCTGGTAAAGGTAAAAGAAAACCTCCTTTGTTCTGTGAGCAGGAAATTCATCTCACCAGCAGGATACGATGTGTTCTGAAGGCTATAGCACACATTGTTTCTTTAGCAGTATCCTGTAGAAGAAAATCTATTTGTTCTTTGGCTGCCTTCAGAGCTTTTTCAATGTTTTAGAATAATGTATGGCGTTACTCTGGGTTTACATGAAACGTCATTTCAGTCCATTATCAGAAGCCAAGTTTCATCCCATTACTAATGCTGTTAAAATGACGGAAACACGGAGGCTGTGATTCAGTTAAATGTGGAGTTGGATTTATGTTGAGTCAAATGTTCTTGATCCTTATTTATTTATTTATTTATTTATTTTTTTTTTTTTTTTTGAGACGGAGTTTCGCTCTTGTTACCCAGGCTGGAGTGCAATGGCGCGATCTCGGCTCACCGCAACCTCCGTCTCCTGGGTTCAGGCAATTCTCCTGCCTCAGCCTCCTGAGTAGCTGGGATTACAGGCACGCGCCACCATGCCCAGCTAATTTTTTGTAGTTTTAGTAGAGACGGGGTTTCACCATGTTGACCAGGATGGTCTCGATCTCTTGACCTCGTGATCCACCAGCCTCCCAAAGTGCTGGGATTACAGGCTTGAGCCACCGCGCCCGGCCTCTTGATCCTTATTTAAAAGCAAATAGGTTAGAAGGATTTATCACACACATAAGCCTTTTATGGATAAATATTGCCATTTTAATGATTCATTTTTCAACTGAGCATCACAGTTTCCTGTCTTGATTTAATTAAACATTGAAAATGCTGCTTTCTCTTAAAATTACACATTGTAATGGTACGTATCCCTTCTCATTTTCAGTGTATGATGATATGATTTTGGCAATGAGTAGAGTCTGTGGTAAGTAAATGCCTTTTAATTTTCAAGTCATTTTGGGTTGCTGGAATCACGATTTCCTGAGATGGGTAGTCTCTGCTGCAAAAGAGGACGCGATGGAGCTGCGATGGGTGTTCTGTTCGAGGCCCTGGATTGAAGGGCAGGGCAGTGGTCTGCTGCCAGTGACACTCCCTTTTTTTTTTTTTTTTGAGATGGAGTTTCCCTCCATTGCCCAGGCTGGAGTGCAATGGCGTGATCTTAGCTCACTGCAACTTCCGACTCTCTGGTTCAAGGGATTCTTCTGCGTCAGCCTCCTGAGTAGCTGGGATTACAGGCATGCGCCACCACGCCCAGCTAAGTTTTGTATTTTTAGTAGAGATGGGGTTTCACCACGTTGGCCAGGATAGTCTTCATCTCCTGACCTCGTGATCCACCCAAGGAAGTGGCCTCCCAGAATGCTGAGATGACAGGCATGAGCCACTGAGTCCGGCCTGCTGGTGATACTTTTTATAGGATTTCCCAGAGTTTTGTCTGGAGTCTTCAGTTTCACTTTAAGAAACTCAGTTTTGGCTTTCTGATTAGCCACTTCTTCTATCCTGCCTTAGGTTAATTGAGATGATTGCTTTGTACATAATTGCTATCAGCAGCTTTTTACATGTGTTGAATAACCATAATGAATTTTGAAACCTCTCACTTTGCCTCATACGAATTAAACCATATGTTATCTTTACAAGTAAATGCCCAAAGGTGGGATTGCTGGATCACATGTCAGTTCAGCTTGTTTTTGGAGGAACTCCACACTGTTTTCCATAATGGCTGTATTAGTTTACTTTGCCACCAACCGTGCCCAGGCGTTGCCTTCTCTCCACAGTATTTTGTCTTTTGATAATAGCCATTCTAACAGGTGTGAGATGATATCTCACTTTAATTTGCATTTCCCTGATGATTAGAGATGTTCGGTATTTTTCATGTATCTGTTGGCCATTTTTCTGTGTTCTTTTGAGAAATATCTGTTCAGATCCTTTGCCTGTTTTTAGTGGGTTATTTGCTTTCTTGCTGTGGAGTTCGGTTCCTTATGGATTTTGAATATTAGTTCCTTAGCCAATGCATAGCTTGGATTATATTTTCTCCCAGTCCATGGGTTCCTCTTCATTCTGCCACTTGCTTCCTTTGCTGTGCAGAAGCTTTTGTGTGGTCCCATTTATTTACTTCTGCTTTAGTTGCCTGTATTTTTGGCATCCTATTCAAGAGATCACTGCCCAGATCCATGCCGCGAAGACCTCCCTGAGCTTCCTTCCAGCGGCTTCGCAGTTTCAAATCTTAGGTTAAGTCTTTTATTAAATCTGAGTTGATTTTTCCGTGTAGCTTAAGTTAAAGCGCCAGTTCCACTCTTCGGCATGTGCATATTCAGTGCTCCCAGTGCCATTTATTAAAGAGCCTGTCTTTCCCTATTGTGTCTTCTTGGCATCTTTGTTGAAAATCAATTGACCGTCAATATTTGGTTTTATTTCTGGGCTCTTGATCCTGCTCCATTGGCCAATCTGTCTGTTCTCATGTCAGTGCCGTGCTGTTTTGGCGTCTGTAACTATATATTTTCAAATCAAGGAGTGTGATGCCTCCAGCTTAGTTCTTTTTCCTCAGGATGGCTTAGGCTACCAGAGGCCTTTCTTTTCTGGTTCCATATGCCTTTTAGGATTATTTTTCTATTTCTGTGAGAAATGACATTGAAATTTTGATAAGAATTGCATTAAATCTTTAGATCACTTTAGGTGGTAAAGATGTGGCTTTATTCTTATATTCATGGAATTATTTTGTGTTAAAATATCTCATAATGTGCCCAGAGGCCACTCATAGATAACAGAACTGACCAGGAGGTCATGAAGAGTGAGTGTGTATAAGACAAATGCAAAAGGCTGAGTCCTCCCTGTGTGCTCATCACCTTGGGGCACACATATATACAAACACACACACTCACACAGCATCACACGTACATAAACACACACACACTCACATCCTCACACTGGGGGAGGCTGATAGAGGCTGGTAGAGGCTGGGAGAGGCTGGGGGAGCACTGGGGGAGGCTGA